GAAGGAACAATGATTGGGCAGACGACCTCAGCAGAGGTCGGTTGGCCCGATTCAGCCATCGCCCTGAGAGTCGCGTGCGCTTCAGCCCTGCGGGCCTTGCACTGTCAGGCAGAGGCATTCAGCTGTGTCCGATTGATGCGCCCTGGCGCCCGGAACATCTGGCAGCTGCCTCCAGCAGCGCGTAGCCAAGCCTTACTGCATCCCAACATGCGTTGCGACCCATTCGCCAACATCGCCCTGGCAACCAGAATGCCTGGCTGCGTCGGCCAGCAGCTTGCTGACCAAAAAAGAGCGGTCCCCGAGCAACAGGATGCTCACAACCAAGCGCGTGCAATGTCATGCGGACACTTGCCCTGCCAGGTACAACCCCACTCTAAAGGGGGGGTGATGAGGCCGGCGGCCCAGCTGGCTCGCTTATACCGGGGTCGCCTGAAACACTGAAGGGGGGGTCAACGCACCTCCTGCTCCAGGCGCACCCGTGCCCTGGAAGCAGTGCCACTTTCAGCAATCCCGGTAAAAAGAACTGCGGCCGCTTCGGATGCCTTGTTCTTTTGGGTGGTCTTGTTTGGGTTCAAGCTAGGAGCAGTGCAACTTGCCTTAACTTTTTTGATGAACCGCGCAGCCTCTTGACAGATCAAGCAATGACGTCCTCTAAGGCCTTCCGATGCGTGCAGGCCTGGCTTCAGACTGCGCGCTCTTCTCGGAAAAAGCTCAAAGTGCTACGACAATCTTTTTTGCCACATTGGGCTCATAGGGCCCGCTGTCCTCTGGAAGTACGGTGCCAACCAGGGTCTGAGAAACACGGCAGAAATTCCTCGAGAATGAAGTTGTGGTAGGAAAAGCAGTCTGCGCTGTTACAACTCACTGCAACGGCTTCACAGCTTGCCGGATGTGCCTTAAATCACTTAGCAGAAAACAGGAAAACTGCCTTTAAGATAGCCTGCGGCTCGGGATTCTTAGCATTTCCCATTCTTGGGTGGAAATGAGAATGCTACAGTTACATACGGACCTCATGTGCAAGGGTGCAGCAAACAATCGGTAATTGCACAGATCCAGAACAGTCTGCAGAAAAAACGTCGCCAAGAAAGAAGACCCAACACCAAGAACATAAGTGAGAGACGATCCGCACCTCCCAGCGGACCACTTTTGAACCACATTTCTGAATCTAGAAGCGGCAACAACCATCATGGGTGGGCGGAACAGAAATGTTCTTCTGTTTGTCCACTTCGGTGAATCAGTCGTCCCTCCCATTACTCTCTCTCCTCTTTTGAAACCCGGAAACCTCTTTTAGCATATCCTCGTAGCTTAGCATTGATCATCAAAAACAGTTTTTTTTTTGCTTTGCGCGGTGCGGCCACAGACCTTGCGCTTGCACTTCTGACGGTCTTCATGCAGGTAAAACCGGTCCTGGCCGCCTTCTGTGCGTCTGCGGAAGGTCGAGTTGCCCAAACTTAAAGCTGCTTCTGACCTTGCAACTGCGTTTCTGCCACGGAGCTTTTAAGCTAGGAAAGCCTTTTGCTCATGTCCAAGTGCCTTCTTGGGCGCACTCCCTGGGCGCTCCCTCCAAGCGGCCTGGAGGGTTTCCCGGCTCGGACTTTTCTTGAACTGGCAGCTTCCGGTAAACTCGCGAAGATTTGTTTGTCGCAAGTCTGCTTGCCAGTCAAAGTGGCGCAGTGGTAAGCGTTAAGGTCCGCTTTTGCTGCCTGTCGCTCTTAGCTCGAGTTGACTCTGACTGAGGCCATGCAGGGCCGAATTGAATTCCCGCGGTTTTTGGACATTTATTGCACCTGGCATTCACAGATCGAAGGCCCTGCCGACTTCGTGCCGCAGAAAAGCTCCAGTAGTCTAGCTTTTGAAAAACATCAAGATACCGCGGGTGCGACGGCTATGGCCGTCACCATGGACAATGACAACCTCATGGCAGCAAGGTTGCTTGGGAGCCCCACTCAGTGCTAGCTGTGCTGGATTACATAGGTGGGCTTGAAGATTGAGAAAGAGGTTCACCAGTGGGTGCTTGGTTTTCCACGAAGGTTCGCTTCCGCATAAACGCTCGACTTGCGTCTGTTTTGGGAGGCGCAGTCATGGCAACTAGGTCTGAGCCAAGGTCTACGCCTGGGCACGTCCTGGAGATGTACCCTGCTGGATCTCTTCGCAAAAAGGTCTGCGAATCCCCATGATACCCTTTGTTTGGTGTCTCTTTTTGGGCAAACCAACAGGAAAAACCATCATTTTCCCAAACAGCGAAGCACTGCATTTCTAACTTAAGGTAGAGAATGCTGCAACGCCAACTCCAGTGCTTGTCTCAGCCTCTGCGCTCAGATGCTATGCTGTGGCTTCGGGGTCGCGTCTTTCGCTTGTCCTCCTGGGGATGCCGTAACGCCGGTTTTCCCTTGCTGTGACGCCAGCTTCAAGGCGTTGACGGAAGCGGTACGCTAATGCAATGCCAAAGAGTGGATGTGGGTTAATTCAATCTGGCTCGAACCCAACTCTGCGAGAAAGCGGTCTATCGCCCCATACAGTGAGTTCTACGACATCTACGCTTCCCGCCCGCCTTCTTCTCCCTTTTCACTTTGAAGGGACGTTGGGTGTTGAACTCTTCATGCAAGGCGGTGGCTTGCTCACTTCGCCAGCAAGTGGGAAGCAACCCAACGATAAGAAAACCCATCTCGTGCACGAGCCCAGAAGGAAAGCAAGTTGTTGATGCATACATCACGTCCAGCCCTTCTAGAGCAAACTTGCCGGCATGTTATCGATGAAGGAAATCCAAAACTGCGGCAGCACGGAGCGCACGTTGAAGGCTGCGATGAGAACGGCTGCAGTCTCTAAGAAGTAGAAAAAGGCCCGGCGCTGACAAGATGCTTCCAGCAGGAATAGTAGACCCAATAGGAATGGATGCTGCACAGGAGATTGGCGTCATAGACCTGCTGTGGCGGCATTCAGCCGTGATGTTTGGCGCAACAGCGTCTAACATGGGCCTTTGACAGGTTTGTCATGTTGGCTCGTAGGCTGCTTGTCATTGCAATGCAGTGAGGCCCACTGGAGTGCTGACTGAGTTAGCCGCTCACGGGTGAAGGGCAGCATTGTCAACATGCAGAGTAATGCACACGGAAAGAGCATCTCAAAAAATCGGCATGCCTGGCGGCTAGCCTGAAAGTCGGAATGTTACGGGCCTTGAGGCATGCAAGAAAGGCTCCGGCATGCAAAAAAGTTCCGGTGTGGAGGCCAGGGCAAGGCGTGTTGCAAGCTGTGTGCGAGCCAGACAGAATCTGATTGAATCGCATGCGCTGAAGGGGACTCCAATGCAGCAGCAAATCCGGAATTTGTTTCGAGATGTATGCAACAGGGCTACTTTGGAGAGCAAGAGAGGCACGCCCAGTCTGTAAAAGAGGGGGGCTACTGGCACAGTTGTTTCGGTGCAGTGCGACTTTGCTTCACTCTTGAAGCGTAAGGGAGGTCAATGTTCGCACTTTTGAACATCCGGCTGCGGTGTTCAAGACAAGCAGAAAATGTGCGTGCAACGGGTACAGGACCAGCGACGCGCTGGCCAACAGCTGTTTCACCGAGGCATTCCTCCTTGTGCCTAACAGATGCAGCGCCAACCATTTGAAGAAGTGCGGAGGAAGTGATTGCGCTCGTGGCTTGCCAGTTTGATCTTTTTGAGGCAACTTGTGCACAATTGTTTGATGCTATTTGTTGAGCGTGGCGCTCAGAGAAACTTGTTGAAGAGCAGACCCATACTGCTGCGAGGCGGCATTGCCTTGCAGGTGGCATTCTCGGCAAGCAACGTGATAAGTGCGCCTGTGTCCACTACTCTGAAACTCGTAAGCTTCGAGATCAAATGGATGCGACTGGAAAGCCGACTATGCTGTAGGCGGTTTTGGAGAAAAAAACCAGTTGTGTATTGCGCTCCGGCTTGGTTTTCTGGGTTGCGTGTTTTTTTGCACTAAACTTGGCAAACTTTTTCATGCTTCTGCAAATTTTTTGATACTACCTCTTTTGACCGCACCTCGCCGTTACTCTTTTGGCTGCTTTCCTTGTATCGCTTCCTGCTTCCTTTTACTGTCTCTGTTTATGATATTGCGTCTGACAAGATGTAAACTGATGTGATGTGATGTAGTCTGCAAACAATGTTGGTTTTGTGCAACGTGTGATTGTACAAGTCTGACTCTTTGCAAATCTTTCTGCTGTGTTGTTGTTTTCTTTTTCTTGTGTCAGTGGGCTTCTTGTTCAATCAAATGCAATTTTTTTGAGTTGGACATTACTTGTCGGTTCTGTTGTTTTCTGTTGTTTCCGTCGCTTTCTGTTGGTTTCTGTCGGTTTTGGTTGATTTCATTTGCTTTCTGTCGGTTTCTGCTAGTCGATTTCGTTTTGGTTTCTGTCGGTTTCTGTTATGTCAGTTGATTTCGGGGCTGTAATACGATTTGTTTGCCGACGATCTGTTTTCCAAAACTATTTTTATGACTTTGGGCACTCTCTCATAACGCTGGCATTTTTTGTTGACCGCCGCTGTCTTTTCAAGTTGTTTTGCCACCATCAGCAAATTGCCACATCATGTTGCCGCTGTTGCACTGTTGCCGCTGTTGAATTGGTGCCCTGCCTCCATCACTACCCCTCTCTTTCAACCAGGCTGTCTTTAGACAGATCCAGTCGTACATTGCGTATCCAAAAACCCTTCTGACATTCCTCGAACATGCCGACGCTCTGAGATAAGCGTCGGCCTCTGGGAAGGCAGTCGCTTGCCTTTGCTTGCACATGTTGACGCTGACGCCGATGGCAAGGCGTGCGTTTTTTTTTCTTCTGCCATCCAGGCGATTGGACATGAATGAAACTATTGGTTCGTCTGTGCGTTGAATGATGGGCCACTTTGATAGTGCACCCTTGCATGTAGCCAGTTTTTTGTCTCACATGGAGACACGCATTTTGTTTTTCCAAGTCTGTGCACTCTGGCTTGCATAGTGTTGATAATGCTCCTATTTTGGATCTTGATCGCTGCATTGTTCAGACTCAAGCTGTTCTGGACGGGACGGTTTGCTCGGTCATGTGCGGGCCGATGCAGCAGAGGAGAGCTTTCGCATCCCAATGACGGATTCCACCTTGCAAATGTGGATTCCACCTTCGCGGTAAACTAAGACACCAAGAATCTACTTGCGACGTAGGCTGGCATGACCCAGACCACCCAGTCCTTTGAAGCACGTGGGGAAGTTCGCATCGCCGACGTCAGAGCCCCAGTGCAACTTGGCACGGCAATTCGTGCCTTGGCGTTACGGTAACGTGAGGTGTTGCGAGATGCCTTGGAGAAGCTGCGGGGAACAGCGCCTCGGAAGCTGAAGGCGAAGATGGCAGTTCTTCTGCGCGTGTGTGTTTGTTTTTGAGGGTACCCCTTTCAGGTAGGTTAGGGAAGCCAAGAGGAAAACCATCATTTGAGCGCTGCCCATATTTCTTGACACACGCCCACATATATACACATATCTTGCAATGGCAGGAGCTTCGTGACAATGTTGAGGCTGACTTGAAGAAGTCTGTGCCTGAGTTGATCAGCTGTCCGGTGCCATTTGCGAGCTTTCTTGACCGCCTTGGGAGCGCACTGACAGCAACGAAACAACTCCCTGCAAATGATCATGAAACCCAAAAAGGGAGCTTTTCAGAGGTCGCAAGGAGATTCCAGCAGAACACTATTTTGTTCGGGTTCCATGTGAATCTGCAGGAGTGCATGCAACTGTTTGCTAAGATTGGAGACACTGCCATCTGGAGCTGGCGTTGATGCCGGTGACTTCTTCTTGTCGTTCAAGCTGGCGTGTGAAGCTGTCGGTCTGCAGCTGAGACGAACAAACAGCTGAGCTGAGCCACCAGCCTCTTTCTTTTCAACCCAGTTATGAATCCCTGAGAGTTGCTTAGCTCCCTTGGATTTTTCGGGAACCTACGGAGCTCCTAGTGCAGCTATCATGCCGTCAATTGGACACGCGTCAATTGGAGAGGTTTGCCCAAAGTGGTGGTCATTTCTCTGGAGGCTGTGATGTTGCCCTGCCAACGCTTTTGACTTCACAACAAGCCTTGTGCATTTCGCTCGAGTCGTTCTCTTTCAGCTTGCAGGCAATCCAGAAGCAAATTACGCATGGCTTTCTCACCGGCAAAGGCGCCCACAAAATTTGCATTGCCCTTGCCACAGATTGGGAGGTCAGAGTGAGCTGCTTCTTTGGGATGTTGCTTGCCAAGTCATTTGATTCTTTCCTTGCCAGGCGCCGATCCGATAAAGCCCGAGCCCGGCAGGCATTTGATTGCATCTCTCTTAGCTACCGCATTCGAGCACCATTTGTTGTTTGCTTTTCGCATGTTAATCCATCTTGGCTTTGATTACCAATCCTTTTTCCGCATACAGGATATTCGGATATTCGGCCTGAGGACTCAGTGGTGGAATCTGTTTGCAATTGCGCAGAGTCTGCGGATGACACGGTTGCGGACTCAGAAAGTCACAGCTCATCAGCTCAGCTCATCAGCTTCAGGTTCAGATGCACATGATCAGCACTCTGCTGGCGGCCGTGACGTCGCAGGTGTGCGAGGCGCAATAAGAGAAGGTCAATTTGGATGTGTTTTTTGGAAATTGGTACCTTTCTTGGGCTGTTTGTAAAGGGAAACCAAAGGGGAGACCAACCATCTGATTTTGAGACACATCCATCTCTTCGGTCATGTTGCCACGAGAGCGCTGAAAAATATGGCATGCGCGACAGGTCCACGGTCAAAGCCTCATGTTAGCCGTGGACACCTGCATGAAGCTCTACAGGGACCGGAGCGGTTTGCCGGCCGAAGGCAGCTTGCCAAAGGCCAAGGCATTCTGCTGCTTGCATTTTCGCGCGTTTGAGCGGCAGCGGATGGCTTCTTTTTGCTTTCCCAACTTGTTCGTCTTGGTTTTGGCTCACGAATCAACAGCTCACAAGTGTCAGATGAGTCAAAAGCGAGTGTCTAGTTGGAATTGACATGTGTATTCGTGTCCATCTCATGGAGTATCCAAGGGTCGGGAGAGGCTGTGGAAGGATAATTTCTGAGTGTTTTTTTTTCTTCTCGCTTTAGCCTTCTTGGCTTCTTGGCTTCTTGGCTTCTTGGCTTTTTGGCTTCTTGGCTTGGCTTCTTGGCTTTTTGGCTTCTTGGCTTTCTGGCTTCTTGGCTTCTTGGCTTTTCGGCTTTTTGTTGGTTTATGCCGCTTTTGGTTGCTTTTTGGCTTTGGCTTTTCACATTCTCTGCATTCCCAATTCCTCTCGTTGATAATATGCGGCTTTCGGTGGCATTTTTTGGCTTTGGCTTTCGCATCCTCTGCTTTCACAGCTCCTCTCCGGCCTTTGCACCCTTTCGTTGGTTGTTGGCTTTGGATTCCCACATCCTCAGCATCACCAGTTCCTCTCCGGCAAGTGTTCTTGATATTTTTGTTCTTGTATGTATGCATGTATGTAATCTATGTAATCTATGTAATCTATGTAATCTATGTAATCTATGTAATCTATGTAATCTATGTAATCTATGTAGGTCTGTATGTATGCACTTATTGCACCCATATTTCGATCATCTTGGGGGGGGGGGCCAACCCCCCCGTTACTGTTCAGTTTTTTTACAGAGAGTTTATCACTTGTTCGAACATCATGACGGGGCTGCCGCCCCTCCCATCGCTTTTCGACCTCGCCAACTCGCCCGCTTTTTAGTATCTTTCACCCACGATTTGCTGGGGATGCTGGGGATGTTGGCGGGTTATGTGGGGGATGTTGAAAATGATGCTGGGGATGTTGACAGGCTAGTTAAATCACGTAAATGTCGTGAGACAATGCTGTAAAATACAACATTTTTCTGGCCAAGACAAAAACACCAGAAACAAGAAAATACGACAAACAAATCCAAAAATAAATCCGCGCCCAAAATTTCAATTTGGGGGCCAGGCCAAACATTTGAGTCTTTCCCACAATGGATCCCCTTTGGTTGGGATTCAAAGGACAAACCTTGCATTTTTGCGCACTGATTCTGATTTGAGAACCCGGCCATAGGGCTGGCCATTGGTTTTGTTGCGTGATTAAGCACTGATAAAAGGAGTCCCAATTACAGTTGATTGCCATTGGACCATTAGACTTCTGTTTCCATACAGTCTATACAGTCTTGGTTAGATTTGTCCATTCCAATTGAAAGAGGACACTGATTTGATCTGGCAAACAATTTGAAGGTGTTGCCTCTCAATTTGTAACTTACATCAATTCTGTCTATTCACAGGTTCTGTGAAGTCTGCTACGACTCCTTGGAGTCGTTGATGCATTCGACATCTTTTTGAAACAGCTTAGGTTGACTATTTTGCGGCATCGTAGCAAATCGTTTTAGGTTTCGACATCACATTCCCAGGGTGATTTGCAACAATTCTTTGCGCTCCGTTAGATTTTGTTTTTTCTTTGCGCTCCGTTGGATTCCGTAGATTTTCAGTGAAAGGGCAATGTCCTTAGACGTCTGAGTAGACCCTCCCCGGACAGAAGTGAGCACAAAGGTTGGGCATCGCATTCTCAATGTGCCAATGATCTGCTTGAAGTTGGTTCACCTTTTCAGGCAGGTAGGGGCCTTTCGATTGTTGGCAAGGCGGACAGCAGCTGTACATGCGCAGTGAGCACTTACACACAATTGCCAGAAGCAAGCTTCGCTCAATGGTTTGTGAATGCACCTCAGATGACTCTGAAAGACCTGCATGACCAAAAGCAAGAATTGATTGTGGTTGTGTGGCGCTTGTGGTGCACAGCTAGGAATGGGGCGACCCAGCTAACAGCATCACCATTCAAGTCCAGCGCAGTGTCATTGAGAGTTGATTGCACTTCTTTGGTTGCCGTTTCAACTTACTTGGGGATCCTCAGGGGCACTAGTTGAACTTGGTGAGTCGAGAACAATCAGAGTTTGGCAATAAACATGGTCTCTCCTTCCATGCCCAACGCTAGTAGCCGTTTTGCGCAAGATCCCACGAAAGGTGAGCTACAACCTCTCACCTCCGCAGTCGTGCCGACCATTCGCGATGGTGAACACAACCAAGCAACGCATCCTTGTGTTTCCCGAACATTGAATGAAGTGATCATGTCTCAATGCGAGCAAGCGTGTTTGGAATTGGACTTGACAAGTTACTAACCTGCATGCCTGCCTATCAATTAAAGTGTGAATCTCGAAGCGAAGCAAGAATAAATCTTCAACGCAACTAAAGTGGAGAGAGCCCTCAGGCGGAAACTGTTTTCCATGCTGACCAGCCCCAGCCCTTCGCTCCTGAAGGGAAGTGGACCGTGCTCAAAGTCTGAGATGTCCATTGCTCCACTCAGCACCTCGTCGGCGCAGGACTCGCGCAGTCAGTCCAACCAGCGCATGGCCCAGACGGCGTTGACCCAAATGCTGTCAGTGGAAGCCTCGGATTTGGGTTGGAGGCTGCATGGGTTGTGAGCCGTGCACAGGTCATCACGCAGAGGATGGAGCTCAGCTCGGCCGATTTGCTGGGCCCTTTGCGAAATTGAAACGGGCCCAGGTTCTCGAAGCCGAAGCCCCAAAAAGTCTTGAGAACTGAGGTCCAGCCGGGCAGATGAGGCCTGGAATGGCTCCCGGCGCTTGGCTCACGCGATCTTCACGCAACACGCGCACCTTGGCTTCGAAGCCCCGCGTAAGGCAAGGTGCGGCCACCTCCGAGCAACTCGCCGCGGTGGTCGCGGCGGCTCCGCCTGCCTTTGCCGGGACCCAAGGGACGGTCCCATAGGCAAGCGACAGTCGCATAAACGGGTGCGGCAAGAAGCTCGTTTTCTTGTTGACATGGATTCTGGTAGACCTTCTAGTCCCAGGTTGTGATTGTGACTGGCAGTGATTGGGCACTTTGCACCAGGCAAATGCAAATGCGGACCTGGCACAAATGCCAAAAGGCCAGGCCAAGAGCATAGCTTGTGTGTGGGTTCCTTGCCTTTTCCAGCAAACTGTACTCCATGGAACCAGGAGAGCTACTGAATGAGTGGATGTCTGCATACCTCACAGCCAAGATCGACAAGCTGGTCCATGTCTTACAACTGCATTGGAAGCAGGGACACAAAGCGCTTTCTCAGGTTTACAATGGAAATGGTGATGCTCCTCAGGGCGAGGTGCGGAGCTGTTGGGCGTGTTTCAAACTAAAGCAGCCCCAAAAAGGGTGCCAACTCAGAACAACACAGCGCTTTGTAAGTGCCGTTTGCGATTCCTGGCGTTTTTGCCTGATGCAAATCAGCTGCCAGGTGGCTCCCGGCAAGTTCGGCTGGTGTGCCCTTTGTCTGGAAATTGGCCTGAGACAGAATCACCTGCCAAACCACTACAAACCCAAGAAGGGTGCTTTCCTAATTCCTGCTTTCCCTTGAAAGCCACCAGCCTTCAAATTGCATGCCCACCTCAGTGCACTTTTGTTTGCTTGAGGTGGTGTGCCGTGCTCCGGCCAACCACTACTGCGTGGACACCCGCGATACGGTTTGTGGACATGCATGCAAGTACCGCAATTTGGAGCGGCTTTCGCTGGTGGAGAAGCACTACGGAAGAAGAGAGGCTCGCATGACCCGAGCAGCAAGAGAGCTTCCTTTGCGGGTGTCACCTGCTACTCGTTGGTTTGGCTTGGCAAGTGCAACCAAAAGGAAGCTGCCCCATCTTGGGCTTGGGGTTCCTATTCTGCAGAGTTCCTTGAAGATTTTGCACGTGAATTGATGTGCACAGGCCGCCTCCAGCTGCTCTCCGGTCACTTGCTCGGTGCGATTGAATCGTGAACAGTCTGGCTTTCCACAGGAAAGACGTCAAGCCAGAGGGTAAACAGCTTGGAACTTCGCCGAAGCCGAGCAAGGTTTCTGCTCCACTACCATCGCAGTCTTCCAGGGAAACTGCCAGTCAGAAGGACGAGGCTTGGACTTGCGATAGTTTCCCATTCAACCACAAGAACCAGGGACTCAACCCCCAAACAACCAATTCAAACCACTGGCAACCTGAGCGAGGGCCAGCATTTGGTGTTGCATTTTGCACTGGCCCCAAAGCAAATTGAGGGAAACCCGTGGGGTTGTTTTTCTGAGTTGATTATGTAGTGTAAAGCGTGGGGTAATTTTCAGGTTGTCACTTTCATGGACCCAGTTGCATGCTTGTCCAACAATTGACATTTGGCTTGCGCCAGTATGGCAAGCGTGCGGCATGCAGGCACCCATTGCAGATGTTGCGGATACCAAGTCGCTCAACATCTACCATCAGGTGTGATTTGGGCATACCACTGCCTTTAGACTTTCTCCGCTGCATTGGAATGCGCAGGATGCCATCATCATTTTGACATACCTCATCAACAGCAGCGCCAAGGATAGCTGCCGGCATTGTGCTTTGTGTAGTTCACTGCCATTTTTGGCTTTCCGTGAAACTGGCCTCAGGAAGCGCCGCAGAGTCAAGCAGATTCAAGAAACATCAGGCCAGAAGCTGAGCTGTGAGACAAATCACCTGGACTCTGTGAGGCTCAAGAGAATCGCCCTCGAGCTGATTCTGGGCGTGCTTTCCAACTCTGGGCCTGTTTTCAGGCGCTCGGTTTCTCAGCTGGGTGTCACACCGCGACGTTCGGAGGTCTTCCAGACATTTTGTGGACATGCTCAAGAAGCTAGTTGGCGTGGCTTGGCGAACATGGAGGAAGGGGCAATCGGCCTTGCGGCAAATCGCTGCGCTAAGGACTCGTTGATCAAGAACAGCGTTTCACCTATTCCGAAGATCTTTGGCCTCTCCTTGCAAATCTTTGCCGCTTCCCCAGTAAGTCATGTTGACCACGGCTTGCCTCGTCACATCCCCGGCTTTCGGAGAACGAGTTTGTGGCTGCTTGTCCGGCAAGGTGTCGCTCATTACCAACTTCAAGGAACATTTGAGGGACGAAATTGGCGTCGTCGCCTGAGCAAAAGCTTCGCAGTGAGCCCTTCTGAGCAAGCGCCAAGCTCCAGGTCTTCATTGAGCAAATTTTTCTGCGCATTCTCGAGAGCGGCAACTCTGACTTCTTGCACAAGAGCAGGGCAAGAGCCTCCATGGAGTCTATCTGCTTAACTGCTTGGATGGCTACTGTAGAGGGGTCCACCTCAGGTTCTCCAGATCTTCTACAAACTCTGCACAGATGCGTCGCTGCCTGAGATGGGTGGAAACATGTCAAGGGTTCGGTGCGTCTCGATGAGGACAACGCCTCTTGAGCTCTTCTTGAACTATGACTGTGATGTCGATGAGAAGAACATCTTCGTCACGGGCCGAGCAAGACGGGAGCGGCTGGTGCAATCTCAAAATTGCAAGTCGCACACCTTAAGGAGCGCACTATCGACTGTCTGTCAAAGATAGCTCAAGGCAAGTACACAGCTGCCTCGGCCTCAGATTTCTCCGAGCCATGTCACTAGATTCGTTTGTGTTGACTCAGGTCGAGCATGCAAACCTGATTCAGCCGCATCAGGCGAAGGGAAGTTTCTGCTAATTTGAGCATGTAGCTGCATGGCTGATTGTCAGAGGAACTCCTATGATGCCTACTAGTCTTCCTGCCCGAGATATAGATTTACTTCTGATACGCATTTACTTCTGGGTGATGCGTTTATTTGCTGCCCAACAGAGCTTCTGTCTTGGAAACTGGAAGTCAACTCAAGCTGAGCGACTCAGGAGCAGGAGCTGAAGCAATTGGCCTTGCAGTCCCTGGCTTTCACCTCAGACAAGACATGTGGTTGTCAAAATAGGCTCCCGTTTTGGGATCCCTGGTACATGGAACCAAAGACTATACCCGCTGGTCCCCTGGTGGTTTAATCTTGACCCATACCCATATGACCCCTTCGTTTACTTGGGGTTGCTAGGGATGGTTATCAACGGTTTATGGGGGTTTCGGGCATTCGTAAAGATTCTTGCTGAGAGAACCATCACCATGACCCACACTGAACCAGACTTGTACCACGGCACATATTTGAATCGGCTAACTTTGCTGAAGGTCACACTGATGGGCTCCATCGTGGATTGGGTCGGAGCCATGTTCTTTGTTCCGTCTGTTGCAAACGCGCGCGCATGCGGCCAGGCTCGAAGAATGACGGAGGATCGCAGAACTCTCCCGCTTGGTGTCCATCGCACAAGGGATATACCCTGAACTAGATTCATGAATGAGTCTGCTTGACAGTGACACGAGAAGATGATTTGCAGCGTGTGCAACTTCAAGTGCAAGAGCGCGTTACCCTTGCAGGACCAAAAGCCTGTAAGCATCCTGGGCCAAGCTGAGGCGAGATTGGCAATCACTGTAGATTGGTGTCCCTTCCTGTTCACAGGAGAGTCGCGATGGCGCTGAGAGCGACGAGGACATCACGTTGAAGAAGATTTGCCTGTGATGTAGCCACATTGACTGCTTGTCTATTTCCAATGACGGTGGCTCGGTTTTCTTGCAACCCAGAAGTCATCCTTGTTGTCAAACTGTCGAAGCCGGAAAGGATGACGCGAGTGATGCCGCCGTGTCCATGGCGACAAGTGACAAAACAATTCCTGTCAGTGCCGGCGCCTTAGCGTCCGAAGCCCTTAGGTCCCATGCTGCGGGTGGGTGGATGTCCAAGCAATTTGGAGTCGCACTTCCATGAACCTCTGAAGTCACTTCGAACTCAAGGTGGCATCGAGCAGCTTCAAAGAGCAAAAGCAGCGGAAAGTGGAGCTGCAAATTGGGATCAACAAGCCGTGGACTTTGAATTCTCATGCATGGCTTTTGTGCAGCTTTAGAGCAGCAGTTGTGATGCCAGAAGCCAGAGCGACAAATGGCCGTTTTGCCTTTCCAGCCTGCCCAGGTTCAACATGAAGCCCAAGCGGGGTATTGAATACCTGAAGCAAAATGGATTTGTCTGGGACCTGGGCGTATGCAGCACTCGTGCTTCGCATCCCGACAACTACCTCATGTAGCCTGCGCCGAGTTGAATGAAGATCCTGCTTCGCTTGCCACTCTGTTCAAGAACACGGAGCTTGGTTGGGAGCCCAGCTGATGGCATTTGTTGTGTCTTCATCATGGGTTAAAAGTACTAAGCTTGCGCGTGTACTCATGGCGTAGAGACTGATTGAGGGACCAGTCTTTTGCTGCACTATGCAGAGTCCCTTCAGGTATTGCATGCGCAAGATGGCTCTTTGGATCATGTTGAACATGATGCCACCACGGACTCGCAAGCGCTTACGCCGAGCTGTGTGGGCCAATGCCTTGCCGTTAGGCTTAGGGCTGCCCTTGGATGGTTTCTCTTGTTTATGCTTGTTTCTTCTTTTTATCTCCCTCGCCTTTGGAATATTCATTTGCGGCTGCTCTGTGTGCTTGTCACATGTTTGGTTGTTGCTATTCGTTGACATGTACACTTGTGCAACGCCATTCGCCGCATCCCAGCTTGAGCCCCTTGAGCTGGGAAGTGGCGTCAAGCGTACCGTGACGCTGGCACCGCGCCATCCGGATGTTGCCATTCCGGAGATGTCGCGCGTTCGTTCCCTCTTAGTTCTCGGCGGCCTCTGCAAGCGCTTGGAAAAGTCCAACTAGGCTGCTACAGTGTTGCTAGGAGAACATTGGTCTGCCAGCACGGACAGAGGGAGCGAAGGCAGGACGAAGGGGCCCACACCAGATGTCTCTTTGGCTACTGCAACAATTTTGGAGTCCCTGTGCGAGCCAGCAGCTTTTCCATGTGCTTTTGGCCCACTCCAAGCGGACGAGGTTGCTTGCGGGTTGCTGGCCGTCACTCTGTATCTTTGTTTGCTCTCTCTCTCTCTCTCTGTCTCTGCCTCTCTGCCTCTCTAGTCGTCTGGTCTTTTTCTTTCGCTTTCTCCAATTCTTTCGTTCATTCTTTCGTTCATTCATTCTTTCTTTCTTTCTTTCTTTCTTTCCTTCCTTCCTTCTTTCATTCCTTCCTTCTTTCATTCTTTCTTTCTTTCTTTCGTTCTTTTTCCTTCCTTCCTTCCTTCCTTCCTTCCTTCCTTCCTTCCTTTCTGTCTGTCTGTCTGTCTGCCTGTTGTCTGTCTGTCTGTTTTTCTTTCTTTCTTTCTTTCTTTCTTTCTTTCTTCTCTCCTCCAATGATCCAACGAGGTTGGACCAAACCCATGTTCTTGCATCAGGGTTTTGCGCTACGCACCAGCTTCGTGATAAGGCTTGGACAAGACTGCCATCGGGGATTACTTGGGGGAGGCGGGAGCAAGACGTAATCTATGGAAAGCTGCAATATCTTTTGCAAGATTCTGAAGGGATCAGGTGTTGGTCAGCCTGGGGGTCTTGTGATTGTTGGCACGATCCATGAAAATCCCCACTTTTGCTGAGGACAAGCCTTTCAACAAGAACACGCTGCATGCTCTGGCAGACAGTCTTGAGTTCAGGGAGCAGGCCCTTGCCCTTGGTCTTGTTAGTCCTACCTGCATTCCTGCCAGTCCCTGGATGGGGCCTTGAGACACTTCCTCTCCTACTTCCGACTTCCCGGAGAGGCCGGCGAAGTTGCCAGAAGATTGTGTCCACTTTATGTGCGAAGGCGCAGAAGATTGACAGAATGATGGAGAAGTTTGCGGAGAAGTACTGCAATGACAATCCTGAACGCTTTGCCAATGCAGACTGCGCATTCGTGTTCTGGCCGAAATAGTTTGTGTGAAAATTATGACAATACCACGCGAAGCCGCAGCATTGTCGCGTGGCGAATCGGATCATTCAGGTTCTTTCCTTTTCGCTCATCATGCTTCAGACTGATTTGCACAATCCAGGCTGGTGAGATCATGCAAATCAGTCGTGTGGGTTGACGGGCCGGTCATTGGTTGCTTGATGGGGACATTGACGGCCAAGGCAGAGCATCCGCAAAAGTCAATCAGTATCTTGCACCACGTTTGTTTGCTTGTGCTGCTCAGCAACGTAGGCATCAAGAATAAGATGACAAAGGATGAGTTTGTGCGGAACAATCGAGGCATCAACAACAATCAGGACGCAAGGGTGCCGACAGACCACACCCTGGCCTTTCCGTCAATTGATTCAGCAGAAGGTCGGGAGTGTTCAAAGCGGGCAGGACTTACCCCGGGAATACTTGGAAAGTCTGTACGACGGTACCGGGCTCAGCCTTTCGTTGTGAAGCGGTGCATGGGCTTGCATGCTCAAGGCTTGCCGTTTGCTGAGGTGTCTCCGCTACCCCGATATCTCTTCAAGAGGATCAGGAGGTGAGCCGGTCCACAGTTGCACAATTTCACGCATTGTGTCGCCTTAAGAATAGCGCTACACTAGACTTGCTTGCTTTTAGCTCACATACTGGCGTTGGAGTGCCCCCAAAAGATTTGCAGAGCATCCGCTGACTCCGAGGCCCGAAATCGGCAGGAGTCACAAGCAGCCCGAGATTTGAATCAGAAGCAATCACCTTAGTCTTCTCGATTGTGCTCAGGTGCAAAGCCATGCTTGGTGCCTGAGGAAGCCATGCTTTGTGCCTGAGGTACGAGTTGTTTGTCAAGGAGACAGAAAACATGGTCCAGAAGACAAAGGCCTTGAGTGTCCAACCTCATCTTGCCTCCACTTCTACCCAAGAAGACATGAGCTTCTACCAAGTTGCTGAACTTGTAGGGCTTGCAAGCTCATTGCGGTGGCACAATCAATGTGTTGAGCAAAGGGAGCTCCCTTCCTGTTTTCCAGGCTGCGATGCAGATGCGAAGAAAAACCGCCACTTACATCACGGCTCAAAGTGCGAACCCCAGCATTTCCCTGAGCAGACGTGTGGTTGCTGTCTAAGCTCAGGTGTGGAGCACGTGCGGCCTCTGTTTGAGGTGCTTCCTTTGAAAGGCCTTTGGTATGCCAGATTCGATCTGACAATTTTCAGGTCGCTTGCTGGCCATATTTGGCGACACTAGCTGTGCTACTTGAGATGCAGGTGATCGTCTGACCGGTTGGAAGCCCGTGGAGTTGACCCTTGCTCAGGATTCGCCACAGAGCATCGAGCTCTGCATCGAAGGATTCAAGCACTGCATCCGGCCGAGGGCTCGAAAACGCCTCAGTTCTGAAAATAATTGTCTCCGCTTGAGGATTGCTGCCCGCTTTGATATGGACACCGAGCGCGATGCATTTGTTTCATCTCTGGCGAAGTTCACCTACTTGACAACAATCAAGGTGGGCTTTTTTTTTAAAACTCTCAGCCGGTTTTCGTGCATTTTAGGAGATGAAGCAAAAGAACATTGAGTGCATCAAGGTGCGATAGAGACATGGGCAACATGGGACTGTGTGAGAAGCTTGCTTGCTTCTCACTTCCTCCTCTCATGACGGCCTACCCGAGCCTTGGCCCAGGCCCTGCTCTCAATCGGCCTTTCTGAGGGCAACAATTTGGGGCCTTCCTGGCTGTATGCCCACCACTCAGCTGGACAAAACTTGGTGACTCCCTTGAAACTGTGGCCAAGTGTTTATCGGCAGATGGCTTTTGTGTAGGTGGACACCCCTCTCCCAAAAAGGTTTCCCCTGAAAGCCTCAGAAGACGTCCGCATGCGACTCAGGTGCTGCACTGCATTTCCCAGCTGGAACGCCTTCAGCTCATCGGCACCAGAGGTGCAAGGCGGGACGCAGTCCAAGAGAAGCCCGAAGCGCACGGAGTGCAGGCAGGACTTCCAGTTCTTCCAGATGGAGGAGGATGCGCAGAGCTCAGTTTGGGCAATTTGCCTACGGAAGCCTCTCTTTGTTTGCCCTGCTTTGCTCTTGCATTCTGATTTGGATGGCGCGAGTAGCTGAGTCACTCTCCCCTGCTTCGGCCAGCAGGCGGTGATACGTTTGCCTTCTTGTGGTGCTCCTTTGTGTTAATGAAGGGTAAACCAATCACTTTGGGGATCTTCCTGAGAAACGTCCAGTAGCGCCAGGTCCAATGCCAGCATCGCTGGTCATCAGGCGCGCCTTGAGTTGCTGCTTGCCGCTTGCGCTTGAGCCTTCTATTGCCAACAGGTGGTGAAACGGCGTGCGCACGGCCTGGGGGTGTCCGGACCTTGGAACTTGGCTGTGATCTCAAAGCGGCCCCTCTTTTGGTGGGTTTTGAAAGGGAGGCCAAAGCAAACCAAGAGTTTTTTGGGGTTTTGGGGGACCATTTTGAGAACCCATGGGTAGCATTGAGGTCTGCGCTAGTGGCCATCGGACAGGATGATCGCCAGGTTGAACTCGCGTGGCCCTGAGGGCCACACCTGCTTCGTGTGTCACTTGTTGCGTGTGCGTCAGGTCAACTCGGAGTCTGTGGCCTCTCAAATCGATGCGGCCCAGATTGAGCTTCTTTTCAATAGGCAGGGTTTTGAGCTCCCATTGCGTGCTGCACGGAGTTGGAGCTTTTGGATGTTTCTTCCAGGTCTACACAGCTTACGCCACAGGCTGTGGTTCACTTCGTCACGCAGCTGGCAAAGGCGTACTGAAGTTGAGCCAGCACAGGTGTTATCCATTTCAAGCCAGGTCTCCAAAGAAGAGCTTGCCTTGGCAGATCAGCCTCGAATCTTCTCCTTGCAAAAGCTGGTGGAGGCAAGGGTGCCCCTGGCCATGATGGCCACTGGTGGATATTGGAGCACCCAGATTCAAAGTCTGTGGCAAGGTGGCTGACTTCAACATGACCCGCATGCGCGTGGTCTGGGGACGGATTTGGCGGGTGCTCAGCAACCACTTTGTGGAGGCAAGGGGGATGAGTTTAGGACTTGGCCTCAACTCGAATACATTTCAGGTAGCTACTCATCCAAATGTCCGGGTATCTCATTATGCAGCTCTGCAGAACAAGCATTGCAGTGCAAGGAGTTTAGCAAGCGCTTGCTTACCTCCTTGCTTAGCTGAGGCCATGGATTCATTGAGGCAACTTACCATGAAGTTTCTTGAGAAGGATGAGATGGCTGGCTACAGCTTCCAGGCGCTTCCAACGCCGCTCCGGATGTCTGTGCTGGTCGGATTGCCAGGCAGAGTTCCTGAAGCCCTTCGAAACGATCATGGCCTGGCCCCCCAGGTCCTTTTGTGCGACAGAGGGACTTGGACACATGCCGTTCCTTGCTACCCAAAAAGGGAACCCCTGGGAACCCTCAAACCACACGCACTGCTGAGGTGGGCCCGCCACCGGTGAGCAAGGAGGTGAAGGAGCTGAGGGATGTTAGTGGCCCAAGGGAAGTGCCCTTAGATTAGTTGGTTCATGTTGGTTCCAGCGCTTAGTGGAAGAAACCCCCAACGAGTTGCTTGGTGGCTTGAGCGGCTGTTTTTGCTGGCGAGGATTACCTTGTCCACATCATCGCATACATGACGGATGTTGGGGCCTTACCAACACTTGCATGCCATTTTGAGCAGTGGCAGAAGCAAAATGAGAATCAAAACAGCCGAGGCCAGTTTCATGAAGATTCGGCTTTGGCCTCGGTGACCTGTCTGAGACGAGACTTGGCGCTTGTGTTTTGGCAGGTCTGGCTGGAAAGCCGTTCTCCACATTTGTGCGGCTGCCGCTCAAGATCCAGCTTTGGGTGAGGCAGGGTGCTTTGGTTTTTTGTGTGTCAGAGGAGCCACAATCAAAGCCGGGATGGTTCCAGGTTGGTAGGGTTTGACAGCGGATGATGGTGACTTTGGCGTCCTTCTTGGTTTGGCAGAGATTCCCACGGCAGGGGACTGTGGAAGTTGCCTTCAAGGTCTTAGAGAAGGCCCGGGGCAGGTGTGCATCCTGTCTAGATATTTGAGGGCTGCAACAACAGAGTTGGAGGGCAAGACCCCCCCCCCCCCCCCCGCCAAGCAAGGAAGCCAGAAAGGCGGGGTCGAAATAGCTGAAGCTTCTATTTGTTCATCACTCTAGTCAAGACAAAGATACGTTGGACAGAATCCTGCACCAGTTGGTAGACTGGTTTGCCCCAGCTCTTGATGGGGTCTTACCCATCCCAGCTGGTCAGGATTTTGTCCATGAGCATCACCAAACGTTGACCCAGAGGATTCAATCTTTGGCGTGTCTCTGTGTTTCCTTGAGGTGAACTCGGAGAGCTGCTACCACCTCTTTCTGGAGAACTTCACAGACGGAATCCGAGCGCTGCTATGCTTTGCTCAGTGCAAGGCCCCGTGCGTTGGGTGGAGTTCGTGTCAAATGGGTGGTGTTCCCTGCTAAGACAGGGTACCCTTCATGGAAAGGCAAGTACCCATTTGTGAGCTCCAGGTGCATGACAAGCGGTCGAATGCCAAGGAGGCGAGTGGCTTTTGTGGATGAGCTAGCCAGAAGTCCCAGAAGTCCCTATGTTTGGCAGGCCAAGCCCGAGATGTCGGTACAGGCCATTCAGTACCTGCTGAAGGCCTTTGATCACCGGAAGCGAAGGCCTTCCCTCACACGCGTCAGAGGCAGCGGATCACATTGCCGATCCCCACACGGACTTGCCCGCGGGCACCGCGTTGTCGCAGGACAGGAAGGAAGTCTCTGAATCCCTGGATCAAAAAACATCTAAAACGGGATTCTATATGGCGAGCGCACCCTATCTAACGATCCGAAAAGAAACGAGAAAAAGACGAGCGCACCAAGATGCACGGATGTATTGCAGCTGGCAGGATCCAGCCATCACGGATGGCCATCCAGCAGCCATTTGGTGGGTGCCTCAGAGCTCAACCCGATTGATCATTAGTATCTTTTGTTTCCACTAGACCAAGGATTTTTAGACTTAAATGGCATGCCCCCTATGGATCAACCAGGATTTATTCCTAGGTTCCCATTATCAGGTGGCCATTCATGAGTCGCGTGGCGAAGCGCCCCGCCAGGTTTCCGATTCTGCGTGGACTCTCCATGCTTGTGGGCGATCCTCGCAGGGACGTAGCCCCCTCAGTCACGAGAAAGGACATGGCTTGCTATGTGGACCACCAATCCACGGAAACGTGCTGGTTTCCAACATGCTGCGATCTCTTTCTGCTTAGGTGAGGGCTTTGGCTTTGAATGGCGTTTTTGATATTCTTCGGGAACACGGCAAGCAGGTCTTTGATGAGGACCCCACCATGAGGATTGTACGTAACCAGTAATCAACATGTTCATGTTGCGTGTCGTAGCGTTGACATCACCGTGTTCATACCCATTGTATGAATAGCCTGTAACTCTCTGCGAATAAACATCTGTCCAGCACAGGACACGTGGCGCATGGTCTTCAACGGAGTCTTTGCCTAAGCTGCGTGCATGTGATCCACAACTCTTGAGATAGTGACATGCCCATGTTGATGTAGTTGGTCGTTTTCCTGTTTGAGGTCATCAAGCCATTGTTTGACGATATCCACCACCAACTTGCTCCACAGAGTGAGCACAAGGACCTTGCGGTCCCAAAGCGCTGCTTTGGTAGGGGACTGCGCCAATCCAAGCTGAGCCACCAGAGAGACGCTGCATGAGAGGACAGCACGGGCGAGGCCTGGATGCATGCGCTTGGCATTTCGCATTTGGCAGCAGATGCAAATTTCAGACACGCAGCAAGCATGAGTCACACAGCTTCGAAGCAATGGAAGATTGCTTTCCACCTCGTTGCGGTTCTCTTCCAATTGAAGCTTTTTTGTTTGGGACAGGTGATCGGGAGAAGTCGAGCGAAGATTTGGAAACTCACAGCTGATGCGAAATCGTGGTGAGGGTGGTAGCACCTTCTGAGGAATTCATTGTGATTGTGTTGCTCTTGTGTTGTCAGGGTGTTGCTGTGGCATTTTTGTGAGAGCATGGCGGCAGACCTGGCATTTGATGAGAACTCGGGTTACCCGTCAGCCGATCCAATGTGGGGAAGCGAAGATCGGAAGCTGATAGCTGATGTCAGAATGTTGCAGTTTGAGATGAATGGGAGGGTTGCGTCTGGTGAAAGATGCCACTGAAGTTCAATGGTTTCCTGTTGTTGCCACGGCAGTACATGCTGTGTATATTGCTCTAGCGCTGTTGTGCTACAGTGCTGTTGTGGCGGACCTGTCATTTGATGAGAACTCGGGTTACCCGTCAGCCGATCCAATGTGGGGAAGAGAAGATCGGAAGCTGATAGCTGATGTCAGAATGTTGCAGTTATAGAGTACTGGATTGGGGCTTGAGATGCATGGGAGGGTTGCGTCTGGTGAAAGATGCCACTGAAGTTCAATCGTTTCCTGTTGTTGCCACGGCAGTACGTGCTGTTTATATCGCTTTAGCGCTGTTGTGCTACAGTGCTGTTGTGGCGGACCTGGCATTTGATGAGAACTCGGGTTACCCGTCAGCCGATCCAATGTGGGGAAGAGAAGATCGGAAGCTGATAGCTGATGTCAGAATGTTGCAGTTATAGAGTACTGGATTGGGGCTTGAGATGCATGGGAGGGTGGCATCTGGTGAAAGCTGCCACTGAAGTTCAGACATTTCCTGTTGTTGCCACGGCAGTATGTGCTGTTTATATTGCTCTAGCGCTGTTGTGCTACAGTGCTGTTGTGGCGGACCTGGCATTTGATGAGAACTCGGGTTACCCGTCAGCCGATCCAATGTGGGGAAGAGAAGATCGGAAGCTGATAGCTGATGTCAGAATGTTGCGGTTATAGAGTACTGGATCGGGGCTTGAGATGCGTGGGAGGGTTGCGTCTGGTGAAAGATGCCACTGAAGTTCAATCGTTTCCTGTTGTTGCCGCGGCAGTACGTCCTGTTTATATCGCTCTAGCGCTGTTGTGCTACAGTGCTGTTGTGGCGGACCTGGCATTTGATGAGAACTCGGGTTACCCGTCAGCCGATCCAATGTGGGGAAGAGAAGATCGGAAGCTGATAGCTGATGTCAGAATGTTGTAATTATAGAGTACTGGATCGGGGCTTAAGATGCATGGGAGGGTTGCGTCTGGTGAAAGATGCCACTGAAGTTCAGACATTTCCTGTTGTTGCCACGGCAGTACATGCTGTTTATATTGCTCTAGCGCTGTTGTGCTACAGTGCTGTTGTGGCGGACCTGGCATTTGATGAGAACTCGGGTTACCCGTCAGCCGATCCAATGTGGGGAAGAGAAGATCGGAAGCTGATAGCTGATGTCGGAATGTTGCAGTTATAGAGTACTGGATCGGGGCTTGAGATGCATGGGAGGGTTGCGTCTAGTGAAAGATGCCACTGACGTTCAATCGTTTCCTGTTGTTGCCACGGCAGTACGTGCTGTTTATATTGCTCTAGCGCTGTTGTGCTACAGTGCTGTTGTGGCGGACCTGGCATTTGATGAGAACTCGGGTTACCCGTCAGCCGATCCAATGTGGGGAAGAGAAGATCGGAAGCTGATAGCTGATGTCTACTGGATTGGGGCTTGAGATGCATGGGAGGGTTGCGTCTGGTGAAAGATGCCACTGAAGTTCAATCGTTTCCTGTTGTTGCCACGGCAGTACGTGCTGTTTATATCGCTTTAGCGCTGTTGTGCTACAGTGCTGTTGTGGCGGACCTGGCATTTGATGAGAACTCGGGTTACCCGTCAGCCGATCCAATGTGGGGAAGAGAAGATCGGAAGCTGATAGCTGATGTCAGAATGTTGCAGTTATAGAGTACTGGATCGGGGCTTGAGATGCATGGGAGGGTTGCGTTTGGTGAAAGATGCCACTGAAGTTCAATCGTTTCCTGTTGTTGCCACGGCAGTACGTGCTGTTTATATCGCTTTAGCGCTGTTGTGCTACAGTGCTGTTGTGGCGGACCTGGCATTTGATGAGAACTCGGGTTACCCGTCAGCCGATCCAATGTGGGGAAGAGAAGATCGGAAGCTGATAGCTGATGTCAGAATGTTGCAGTTATAGAGTACTGGATCGGGGCTTGAGATGCATGGGAGGGTGGCATCTGGTGAAAGATGCCACTGACGTTCAATCGTTTCCTGTTGTTGCCACGGCAGTACGTGCTGTTTATATTGCTCTAGCGCTGTTGTGCTACAGTGCTGTTGTGGCGGACCTGTCATTTGATGAGACTGATAGCTGATGTCAGAATGTTGCAGTTATAGAGTACTGGATCGGGGCTTGAGATGCATGGGAGGGTTGCGTCTGGTGAAAGATGCCACTGAAGTTCAAACATTTCCTGTTGTTGCCACGGCAGTACGTGCTGTTTGTATTGCTCTAGCGCTGTTGTGCTGCAGTGCTGTTGTGGCGGACCTGGCATTTGATGAGAACTCGGGTTTTCCGTCAGCCGATCCAATGTGGGGAAGAGAAGATCGGAAGCTGATAGCTGATGTCAGAATGTTGCAGTTATAGAGTACTGGATCGGGGCTTGAGATGTATGGGAGGGTTGCGTCTGGTGAAAGATGCCACTGACGTTCAATTGTTTCCTGTTGTTGCCACGGCAGTACGTGCTGTTTATATTGCTCTAGCGCTGTTGTGCTACAGTGCTGTTGTGGCGGACCTGGCATTTGATGAGAACTCGGGTTACCCGTCAGCCGATCCAATGTGGGGAAGAGAAGATCGGAAGCTGATAGCTGATGTCAGAATGTTGCAGTTATAGAGTACTGGATCGGGGCTTGAGATGCATGGGAGGGTGGCATCTGGTGAAAGATGCCACTGAAGTTCAGACATTTTTTGTTGTTGCCACGGCAGTACGTGCTGTTTATATTGCTCTAGCGCTGTTGTGCTACAGTGCAGTTGTGGCGGACCTGGCATTTGATGAGACCTCGGGTTACCCGTCAGCCGATGCAAGGTGGGGAAGAGAAGATCGGAAGCTGATAGCTGATGTCAGAATGTTGCAAATATAGAGTACTGGATCGGGGCTTGAGATGCATGGGAGGGTTGCGTCTGGTGAAGGATGCCACTGAAGTTCAATGGTTTCCTGTTGTTGCCACGGCAGTACGTGCTGTTTATATCGCTTTAGCGCTGTTGTGCTACAGTGCTGTTGTGGCGGACCTGGCATTTGATGAGAACTCGGGTTACCCGTCAGCCGATCCAATGTGGGGAAGAGAAGATCGGAAGCTGATAGCTGATGTCAGAATGTTGCAGTTATAGAGTACTGGATCGGGGCTTGAGATGCATGGGAGGGTGGCATCTGGTGAAAGATGCCACTGACGTTCAATTGTTTCCTGTTGTTGCCACGGCAGTACGTGCTGTTTATATTGCTCTAGCGCTGTTGTGCTACAGTGCTGTTGTGGCGGACCTGTCATTTGATGAGAACTCGGGTTACCCGTCAGCCGATCCAATGTGGGGAAGCGAAGATCGGAAGCTGATAGCTGATGTCAGAATGTTGCAGTTATAGAGTACTGGATCGGGGCTTGAGATGCATGGGAGGGTTGCGTCTGGTGAAAGATGCCACTGAAGTTCAAACATTTCCTGTTGTTGCCACGGCAGTACGTGCTGTTTGTATTGCTCCAGCGCTGTTGTGCTACAGTGCTGTTGTGGCGGACCTGGCATTTGATGAGAACTCGGGTTTTCCGTCAGCCGATGCAATGTGGGGAAGAGAAGATCGGAAGCTGATAGCTGATGTCAGAATGTTGCAGTTATAGAGTACTGGATCGGGGCTTGAGATGTATGGGAGGGTTGCGTCTGGTGAAAGATGCCACTGAAGTTCAATCGTTTCCTGTTGTCGCCACGGCAGTACGTGCTGTCTATATCGCTCTAGCGCTGTTGTGCTACAGTGCTGTTGTGGCGGACCTGGCATTTGATGAGAAATCGGGTTACCCGTCAGCCGATCCAATGTGGGGAAGAGAAGATCGGAAGCTATAGAGTCCTGGATCGGGGCTTGAGATGCATGGGAGGGTGGCATCTGGTGAAAGATGCCACTGAAGTTTAATCATTTCCTTTTGTTTCTACGGCAGTACGTGCTGTTTATATTGCTCTAGCGCCGTTGTGCTACAGTGCTGCTGGTAGCTGATGTCAGCATGTTGCAAATATAGAGTATTGGATCGGGGCTTGAGATGCATGGGAGGGTGGCATCTGGTGAAAGATGCCACTGAAGTTCAGACATTTCCTGTTGTTGCCACGGCAGTACGTGCTGTTTATATTGCTCTAGCGCTGTTGTGCTACAGTGCTGTTGTGGCGGACCTGGCATTTGATGAGACCTCGGGTTACCCGTCAGCCGATGCAATGTGGGGAAGAGAAGATCGGAAGCTGATAGCTGATGTCAGAATGTTGCAAATATAGAGTACTGGATCGGGGCTTGAGATGCATGGGAGGGTTGCGTCTGGTGAAAGATGCCACTGAAGTTCAGACATTTCCTGCTGTTGCCACGGCAGTATGTGCTGTTTATATTGCTCTAGCGCTGTTGTGCTACAGTGCTGTTGTGGCGGACCTGGCATTTGATGAGAACTCGGGTTACCCGTCAGCCGATCCAATGTGGGGAAGAGAAGATCGGAAGCTGATAGCTGATGTCAGAATGTTGCAGTTATAGAGTACTGGATCGGGGCTTGAGATGCATGGGAGGGTTGCGTCTGGTGAAAGATGCCACTGACGTTCAATCGTTTCCTGTTGCCACGGCAGTACGTGCTGTTTATATTGCTCTAGCGCTGTTGTGCTACAGTGCTGTTGTGGCGGACCTGGCATTTGATGAGACCTCGGGTTACCCGTCAGCCGATGCAATGTGGGGAAGAGAAGATCGGAAGCTGATAGCTGATGTCAGAATAGAGTAGAGTACTAAATCGGGGCTTGAGATGCATGGGAGGGTGGCATTTGGTGCCACTCAAGTTCAATCGTTTCCTGTTGTTTCTACGGCATTACGTGCTGTTTATATTGCTCTAGCGCTGTTGTGCTACAGTGCTGTTGTGGCGGACCTGGCATTTGATGAGAACTCGGGTTACCCGTCAGCCGATCCAATGTGGGGAAGAGAAGATCGGAAGCTGATAGCTGATGTCAGAATGTTGCAGTTATAGAGTACTGGATCGGGGCTTGAGATGCATGGAGGGTGGTATCTGGTGAAAGATGCCACTGAAGTTCAAACATTTCTAGCGCTGTTGTGCTACAGTGCTGTTGTGGCGGACCTGGCATTTGATGAGAACTCGGGTTACCCGTCAGCCGATCCAATGTGGGGAAGAGAAGATCGGAAGCTGATAGCTGATGTCAGAATGTTGCAAATATAGAGTACTGGATCGGGGCTTGAGATGCATGGGAGGGTTGCGTCTGGTGAAAGATGCCACTGAAGTTCAATCGTTTCCTGTTGTTGCCACGGCAGTACGTGCTGTCTATATCGCTCTAGCGCTTTTGTGCTACAGTGCTGTTGTGGCGGACCTGGCATTTGATGAGACCTCGGGTTACCCGTCAGCCGATGCAATGTGGGGAAGAGAAGATCGGAAGCTGATAGCTGATGTCAGAATGTTGCAAATATAGAGTACTGGATCGGGGCTTGAGATGCATGGGAGGGTGGCATCTGGTGAAAGATGCCACTGAAGTTCAGACGTTTCCTGTTGTTGCCACGGCAGTACGTGCTGTTTATATTGCTCTAGCGCTGTTGTGCTACAGTGCTGTTGTGGCGGACCTGGCACTTGATGAGAACTCGGGTTGTCCGCCGCCGATGCACTGTGGGGAAACGAAGATCGAAAGCTGATAGCTGATGTCAGAATGTTGCAAATATAGAGTATTGGATCGGGGCTTGAGATGCATGGGAGGGTGGCATTTGGTGAAAGATGCCACTGAAGTTCAATCGTTTCCTGTTGTTGCCACGGCAAACATGCTGCTGTTGCAAGGGCAGCGCTATATGTTCATAAGGCTTTCTCAACGAAATGTTCAGGCGCAAGATGCTGGGCATTGGGCCTCGATGGGGTTCGGCCCTCACTCGCCCTGCAATCTGATCAGTGTGTCTTTCGACGCTCGGTATCCATCTTTCGCGTTTTAAAGGACCAGAAAGGGATGCGTTGCTCTTAGGGTACCCCCTTTTGAAGTTGAAGGGAAGCCAAAAGAGAGCCATTCATTTGGGTTTCCCGATTTTTGACATACCCAAAGGAAGGCGGACGCCGTTTGTTTTTCGCGGAAGATGCCTTTGACGTCCGGAGGCCTCCAACCTGCTTGGCGGCACTCACGCAGCTTGTGAGGCACAGCAATTCTTATCCTGGTTCCTTTGACACCCTTCGGGACGTAAACTCAGGGGTGGTCCATTTACCTCCACAGCAGAAAACCCGAAAGGCAAAGGAAGCCGAGCGCCTTCACTGGTTACCCGGTATTGAGGATGGACAGAATCCTTCAGTTGGTAGGTTGTCTGTTCCATCATGGATAGGGTTTCATCCATCCCAATTGGATGCGCAGCGGATTTCGTCCATCATAACCTGATGGGAACCGCGATCCAGGTGGTTTCACAGCATGTCGAAACAGGGGGTCCCAGGGACCCCAACAGCCCACGATGCAATCAACAAGCAGAACGTCTTCGCGCCCCTTTTCGTGTCAGGTTGATCGAGGCGCATTTGGATGTGTTGGCCTTTTTGCTGGACGACGTCGCCACCTCAGCTCCGAGCCTTCGGGGGGCCTGGCGCCTTTCCGGAGAAACGATGGCAGGTTCTGCGGCTCATCCGGAACTGCATCCAGCACGAGTTCGAGGCCGGCTTGGCTTCTCACCCATCACGGGGGCTCAAAAAGGTTTGACACTCCATCCTTGGTATGGGGGTTATCAGTTCTCGAAATAGGGCCAGGCCGAAAGGCGGTACACCATTTTCTGAGACTCCCAATATGGGCATGTCGAACACGCTAGGGCGAGATGGCAATGCATACCCACATCAAGATGTGCGAACTATTGGACACTGAAGGTGAATGCGGCGGCATGGGAGAATGCCAACATACTGCAATATGTTTGTCAGTGTTGTCCATCGTCAACTTAACCGTTTTGCTGAACATACATTTGCAAAAGGCCGCTTCAGACATATTTTCAAAGATAATTTCAATCAAAGAGGTTTTCAAAGAAGGGGACATGTGGCAGCATGTCGAATCGGAAGCCCAGAGTAGATGGGGATCGTGGGCGGCATGTTCGGCATTCCCCTTAACTTTCCCAGGCATCAATTGAGCCACAATCACAACCCGGGTAAGTGAAGGTTAGTAAGGGACGATCCCAGCCATAATAAATAGCTGCGGCCGCCTTCTTAGTTCTTTACATGGTTCTGGGTCGACCATTTTTGTACCGGGTTTTGATTGTGACTCAATTCGTGACCAAAGACCCCCCCAAAAGCCCAGCACGCCTTTCCAGAGATGCCAAAAGCCCACAGCCTGCATCCTCGCGCAACCCAAAGAACCGGCCGTTGAAAGCGACACCGCCCCGTGGAGGCCGTGGCGCGCATAGGCGTCGAAGGCTTCAAGCAGCTGCTGATTTGCACTGGAAAGAATCTGAAGCCGCAGTCCTGGCAGAAGGCGTCTGGGATCTTGAAAAATCGTGTCGAAGGGAGAAGCTCCAATCCGCGGTGTGGGTTTTTCATTGGGAACCGAGGTGAACCAGAGGGAAACAACTGTTTGTTTGGTTCGCTATTTTAAGAGATGACGCGAATTCGATTCCTGCTTTCTCGTTTTGGTGAAGACCATCCCCTTCGACCGCACCTTCGACCGCACCTTCGACCGCATTAAAGCTGGGTGAACGATGGCGACTTCACTTTCAGTTCCCGTTTTGGTAAAGGTCCCAAAACTGTGCCAGCTAGCAAAGCCTGGTGTCAACCTCGCAGATTAATCGGCAGGTGATTGCCCTGAGGCAGGCTTCCCGCATCACATTCATCAAGAAGAGGTTTGTTAATGCTTCCTCCCATTGGTGCCATCTGACATAGGGCGATTTCGGGAAGAGCATGGTTGGAATCCCCAACGCTCCAGCCAACAACAAACAGGAAAGAGGGGCTGTCATGAGACTGCACAATGTTGCCATACCATGTTTTGGGAGAACAAGGAAGTACTATACTGACTACGTTGACTGCGGATTTGTTGAAATCGCCATCCCACACATGGTGGTTTGAATCTTGGCATACAAACCCACACACAGACACAATCACAAACACACAACGCACAACACCACACACGCCCAAACACAAGCCCAACACACACGCGCCCAACACACGCCAAACACACACGCCCAAAAGCACGCACACCCAAACTACACACACACAAACCCAAGCATCCGCGCACATCCACCGTGGCTCTTTGCTGATTCACTCAAAACTTTCGATGGCAGGTGACTGCATGCATCCTAGAGCTCTTCCGGGACAGCATGCCGACCAAGCTTATGGAGGTGGATGCGAAGGCACTTGGAAATGGGCAGCGAACATCAGTTATTTTGTTTCTTCTTTCTCTTTTAAAGGTTGGTTTAGCGGGAAACCGAAGCTGATTTGGCCCCCCCGAGTTTGGCGCATACCGATACGCCAGCGGGCACCACTTATTGCAAAGGCCTCTTCTCACCTGCCTTTCAACAAGGAGGATGTTGTCATCCAGTGCTACCCTTGTGCTTGTCCACTGTAGCTGCCGGGTAGAATGTGCACATTCGCCAAACCGTCAAGCTGAGGTGCGTTGTTCAGCTCTTGCTGATTGACATGCTGATGGATGCAGTCTCGCAGCACTATGAGCCGGCATCTCGGGCCTTTGCCAGGTGCCACCTGCTGCTTGGTTTGACCCGAGGAACATTCCAGAGAGCGGAATCATGACGCTCCTCGACGCGCTGCAGCAGTCGTTTGAATTTGCTCAGGACGATTCACGCATTTCGGCAGCTTGGCGTTTCACCGCAAATGGGCGCACCACAATTTGTGAACGCAAACTTTGACGGAGAGAGTGCAGGCGCAGCTACGGACGCAGGCACAGGCATGCAGGTGCGTATTATTCGGCCAGGCATGCGAGCAAGGATTCCTGCGAGCAAGAGCACGCCAGCAAGCAAGCAAGCACGCTAGCAAGCAAGCAAAAGCAAGCAAGAGAAGATGTTTGGTCTAAGCACTTTGTGAAGCAGCCGCTAGCGCACTGGGGCATGAGCGTGCACACACATTCACCTTTCTGCCTGAGACATGCATGTACACGACATGGCGGCATTTGCTTGTGCACCCACCCCACCCCACCCCACCCCAACCCAACCCAACCCAACCCAACCCAACCCCAACCCCAACCCCAACCCCAACCCCAACCCCAACCCCAACCCCAACCCCAACCCCAACCCCAACCCCAACCCCAACCCCAACCCCAACCCCAACCCCAACCCCAACCCCCCAACCCCAACCCCAACCCCCCAACCCCAACCCCAACCCCCCAACCCCAACCCCAACCCCCCAACCCCAACCCAACCCCAACCCCAACCCAACCCAACCCAACCCAACCCAACCCAACCCAACCCAACCCCACCCCACCCACCCACCCACCCACCCACCCACCCACCCACTCACCCACTCCCAGCCGAACACGCACACGCACACGCACACGGCGCACCCGCACGCATATGCCAACACACGCACACGTACACGCTCATGGACAGGGACGCGCGTTCGCACGCAAACGCACGCACGCATGCGCACACACGCGTCACACGCACTTGCACAGGGTTGAAACGCTCACCGAAAGAACACTTATGCAGAAATGCCGACATTGACATGCTTAAAATGCATGCATTGTCATTTGTTAAAGGCCTTCGTTTATTTCCGCAACTAGTCAGATGAGCATTGCAACAATACAGGCGATCGCCCAACATATTTATACCCAATTTCTGGACATCAGAAGTAAGCAGCTTTTGGTTTGACATTTGAATCAGCTGCCAAGCGCGAGGAGTTCAATCGGCAGATTGAGCTACGGCAAGCTCTCAAAAGGCTTGGCTTTATGAAGGAAGTGCCTGGCACATAGCAAGCCACAGTCTCTACGAGCAGTGTTCAATAGACACCCCTTGTTTGTCCAAGCAAAGCATGCTGAGGAAGCAGCTGCCTGGATTGTCAGCCTGCTCAGTTGTCATAAACTGATGCGCAGTCGAAGATCATTGGCCATGGGTCAAAACCCCGCACTCCCAGGGAACATCCCAATCCCCACTAAAATAGACTAAAGTGGGTGGTGCACCTATCCCAAAATGGTGCCATTGGTTTTGAACCATGGCTATTGTTTCAATGGCAGGCTGAAGCAGGAACGGGACTCACTTCGTTGTTCCTTATGGATCCTGTTCCAGGCTAGGACCCAATCTCAGTAGTACCAAGACGCACCAAGCACGCCAGGTTCAGTCTGACCCCAGAATGAACGGCAGCGAATTTGCATCAAGAGCTGTGGATCGTACTGATGGCTCGCTTTGCAAGAGATTGGATCAAGAGGTTGACGGTCTTCTGGCCAATAGCCCTGCCGCCCGCCAGGTCTTTTGCGACTCTGTAGTACGGTGCTTCAGAATTATGTCAATAAGGTGAGGTCCAATTGGCTTAGCTCTTGATCAAATTCTTCGAAGCCAGAGTGCTGCTGGTGTTGCATGGGCCGGTTGATGCCAAGCCGCAGCCAGGAGCGAATTTTGCATGACCGGTCAGAAGCGCTGGAAACTCAAGCGCTGAGAAACGTTGGGATTTTTTTCATTCAGTACAGGTCCAACGAGTCTGGAGACAGGGAGGCAATGGCGGCGTTGCAGTGTTCTCGTGCTTTTTTGCGTACAAGCTGTAGCTCTCTGGTTCAGGCTTCGATCGTTGAGATGGAGAGGGAGGCAGGCGGCTCAACATTTGTAGACCGTCAGCTGGGTATGGGTCAAAATGAAACCACCAGGGCAGCGCAGGTTTTAGTCCATGTTTCCATTTACCAGGGTTCCATTCTGGGTACCCTATTTTTGACCCACAGCCACCTTGACTTTGGCAAATCGTGAGGTCCACGGTCTTGTGCCCATCATCTCGCAGGCCATCAGCTCGTGTGATTGGCATGCATGTGAAGTGACTAGATGTGACGTGAAATGCGTGCCGTGGTCTATTCGGGGAGCCATGTCCGCAGGAGTTTTAAGCATGGCACATGGGCCCCCAAAGCATATATTCTCTGCGATTTGAGAGTTCATTCCGCTGGCGGGTGCACCGGGCTCAGGTGGTGGTCAAAGGCCTGAAGGATCTCCCGCCGAAGTTGTTCGAGCAGCCTTGTGCCGAGCATTTGGATGGGACTTTGACAGAATGTGCCAACGCGCAAGCCAGCTTGAAGCCAGCAGTAACCGACCAAAGCCAACCTTCTCAGCCTATGCCATCGCTTACCCCCAACGCGAATTCCAACACCAGCCCAATGCTGCTCTTGACCATCCGTAAAGCTCTTTACAGCTCGACGGGCCCGTCAACCTTCCCTCGGCCGTGCCAAACCTGCCCTAAACCCACCCTAAATACACGCTGAGCCAATCCTCAGCCCATTGGAATCCACCTTGAAGTCAGCGCCAGCAATCCTTGTCCTTCCTGCAGCCGTCCCCTGGCCAAGCCAATGAGCCAACCCAAATCTACCCCTATCTCCAACAGAAGACCAAAGACCAAAGCTTCCCGAAGCCCACGTTAAACAACAAACCTTTAGTCGAGCCCGAGTCAATCCCCTCAGCGAGAACACGATGTAGATTGAGAGAATTCAGCACCATGTTCTGGCTTCAAAAAACTAAATGCTGGTATGTTGTTCATGTTTCCAAGACACTTTCCACCCACGTGCTAGTACTTCACGGCGAAGCTAATCCAAGCAACAAAGGTCCCACAAACTTGGAAAAGGCTCGAAGCGTACTGCGCGCAGAATTCCCGAGGCATGTTCACGTTCTCTTCCCACTCTTCTGCGAGCTGACAATGGTCAATTCTCGCGAGGCGCGAAAGAGGACTCTCTCATTGCGTTGGGAGTGCTCTTAGTACTTGGGTTTGTGTTGAAAGGGAAACCAAAAGCAAAGGAAACCAACCATTTCGTGAGTTTCCTGTTTGAGACAAACCCATTCATCGCCTTCGTGGAGAAAAAAAACCATTGCGTGCCAGGTCCGTTCGCTGGTGCGAGAGGTGCTGTTAGAGCAGGTGGCCCCTCTCCTGAAACCCAGCCGTAGTCTTAGGAGCTGTGCCAACTGCATCCGTGCCACTAGCCAGGGGAAAGTTGGCCCAAGTACATCACAGTTTGCACACTTTCTGGAACGCGTGTTGTGAAGGAACCCCGCATTGTCAGCGACTTTTCCGTCAGGCCCTTGAACCTACGCACATCGTGATCGTGTACATTACGTGTCCTCGAAGCCGAAGCTTTAGTTTAGTCACAGCTGAAATTGCCATTGCCGTCCTTTTGTTTCCCAGCCTTTTTTCTGCTGGACAGAGCCATAGCTTCGGGCTTTAGCATTGCTTTCTGCACGACATGGACGGGGCTCTCGCGGGTGCGTCTTGGACTCCTGGCTTTGCGGCAGTGCAGTCTGCTCAGCCGGTCCGAGTTTCGGTTTTCCAGCCGATGCGCAGTTGGCAATTGGCAGCCTGACCCCAGAGCTTGGCAATGGCCCAAATTCAGTTGCCACATAGCGTCAGTGTCTCTGACAGCAATAGCTGCAGGTGCAAGGTGCAGATAAGCGTTGCAAAAAGCGCGCGCAATGCGAATAGATTTGTCTGTTTGGAAGCCGTCACTCCAGAGTTGTGAGCTGAAGCTGGTTAGCGCGCCTTGTTGGCGCAACATTCCCTGCCACAATCTCAAGCCCGCAGTGACTGGCACTATTCAGGACACGCCACACAGGAATGGGAGATTGACGGAGCTCATGACACAGCAAACAAGAGCCTTTTCAGAGGAAGATTTAGATCCATAGCGTGAGAGCCAACAGAGATATCTAGTTTGACCTGGAAGGCCAGTCAGTGCTTCGGGACCTTTGCACCGAACATAGCCTTGACAATGCCAGGCGTGCAAGCACTGCCACCATGGTGCCTTGCTCAGTCTTGCGTCGTGGCTTGCGGGTGTTCTATTGACCGCAAAGAGCAATGTTTGTCCTTGCAAGCTGTCGTCTTTGAGACGCCTGCAACCGAATTTGTGTCAGGCAAGTGAAACTCCTGAGGCACAGGAGGCAGGTGCAGCATTAGCCTTAGAAGCATTCGTGTAAGCTGTTTCGAGGAGCCGCAAGCTCCAACACACGAACCATTCTCCATGAAGTTACTGAGCACTGTGCAGGACTTCCAACTGCCTTTTGTTTCGCGGTGCTCCGGCCGTGCACTGCAGGAGCACCGCAGCTTGAACGGCCTGAGGCACAACGACCACCTCAGGCAACTGCCATCACGATGCAGAGATGTCAAGCTCGTCGATTCGAGGTACCGGCAGTACTGCAGCCGGCGACTACGTCGGCTCTACACGGGCTTGCGCTTCACGCACGGCAAGACCCGCTTCAAACAGGCGTGCACATATGGGTTTGTCTCACAATGGGAAGCCCCAAAATGGCTGGCCGTTCAAAAACCCCAAAAAGGCCTCAACCTAAGAAAAAGGGCACCCAATGCAGCTTGACGTGGCGTGAGGTGCCCTTCCCAGAGAACATCGAGGATGCAAAGTGGGTTTGTATTCCTTTGGTTCAGACCGAGCGTGCCTGGGCATTCGGAGTGCGCCAAGCCGCGTGAATATTTCATTGTGTTCAACACGGCCATGTGAAGAAATGTATTAAACATGAAAGAAAGTGAAAGCGCCACACCAAAAGCTTGCAAAGCCATTGTCACGCAAAAGGAAGAAACATTCGCACTGCGGTTTGCGGACATGAAAGTTTGAATGCCCCTGTCACGGAACCCCTCTATGAGGAGGATAAACACAACCACATCGACATGTCGCAAAAGGCAGCGTCTAGGCGGTTGCCCGGTGGTTCTCCTTGCGTTGGCAGGCGTTAGCGGGGTTTCTTCACGGTCTGAGGGGTGAGGGGCGGCTGAATACTTCCCCCAAACCAGGATTTTGATTGCTCTCAGTGTTTCTCTAGCACGTCATGTTGATGCACGGCGCCCTTCTCATTCAATCCCAAAGCAGCGCGTTCACCACCTGCATCCAGTGCCTAATGGAGCTTCATCAAGGCAAGAAGTTACGGCAACGAGTGGAAAGCCGCCAGTCAAGCGACGTCAAACCGGCCAGTCGAAGCTTTTCAAAAGCCCAGCCGCGACCGCTGGCTTCCAGGGCGCACAATTTACGCGAGAAGCTTTGAGAACCACTTTCGAACATGAACGGGGGTGGCTCTACTAGCAATTCGGCGCATTGACCTGCAGAATCTCCGGGGACGATCGTTCGTTCAGTTCAAGAATTTGCCGATGTATGCGCATTCACCCGCACAATCGCCCCACAGAGAGCCATTCGCGGTGTCAGACAAGCCATGCAAGATACCTGTAGCCAATCCAGAACGAGTGCTTCCTCCGAGATGCTGCATTGGCCTTTCTAGTGTCCAGAGCTCCAGTTGCAACTAGTCAACCGTTTGTTTTGCCCTATTCTCAAGTGATGCACTCTTGCCTACTTTAACCCACACAAGATGGCCGGTCTCGTCTCCTGAGATGAATTGCACACAGCCGGCGCAAGCCATTCCTGTACGATGACGGAGGATCGCAACATCAGAGCCTGCTAGTATTTGCAGGACCTATTTGATAACTGGAAGCTTGAAAGATGGAGCCTGAAATCTGAAATTTGAAACCTAAAGCCAGAATCCCGAAACCTGACACTTGAATTTTGAAAGCTGAAATTTGAAACGTCAAACCTGGAACCTGACACCTGAAAGTTAGAAGCGGCAAAGAACAACTTGTTGGGAGGGCTTGGTACGAGGATATCAATCTTGCAGCAGTGTGGGTAGTGTGGGTAGCACAAAAATGCACAGGCAGCTGTAGGCCCAGGGATGATTGCACATGCAAGACTGCACATGGCAAGAAGCTCCATGCAGCAGCATCCTGACTCAAGCCATGCTCTTTCTGGCAACACTTGCAAGGCTTTTGCAGCGCTTGCACAGGCACAGTGAAGAGTACCTTTCAAAGCCCTCCTGTGGCATTGATTAGTTTGCGTTTGTGGAACACTGATCGTATGCTGTTGTTTCAAAGCCCACAATGCAATACGGAGTTCACTTCAATGCGTTAAAGATTGCGCTGGATGATTGCAATGCATGCAAACAATGTCATAAACCACCGGGCAAATCGCTCTGAAACTTCAGCCGGCATAGTTCTGCGAAGCTTGTTTCAACTGTGACCGCATCGCACCACTAGCAGCAAACGCGACACGTAAGTAGCACTTGAGAGGCGCGAGTGTTACACCGTGACTTATTTGGTTTGACATGGGACTTGTTTCCGATTTGTGAATGGCAAGATATCCAGGTACAGCTGAAAGCCGACAACGCGGCAGCTTCTGTGAGGGTCACGGCGAGCAAACTTGAAGCAGCATTGCCCATGTTGCGAGCCTGCCTCCCAAGGCCGACAACTTGCGATGGCGTCGCCACTCCGAACGAAAGTCGGGGCCTTTCTCCGCACGGAAGCGCAAGGCACGCGCTGCAGTCAGGTTTCGGAAGGCACATTTTTATGCCCAACACCTGGAGTCAGTGCTGGGCCAAGCATCGGAATGGACTGAATCTGTCGAATCTGCGTGCCGCAAGGTTTGCAAAGTGCATTTTGACCAGCGCACGCAGCTTGAAGCAGAGGCCGCTGCAAGCAAGCATGCCCCTCAGCTTGCTGGATGCAAGTTCTCAGGCATACGCGGCCTACATTTCAGGCGGCTGGATACTTTTGCACAGTCTCAACAGCCTTGACTTTGACTTCCAGGAACATGGCTTAAGGAGAGGGAGAACTGGGCTGAGGCTGAGTTCATTGCATATCCGTAGATCCGTAGCAGTTTTTGACGTGCCTTTGTGATGGCCTTTCCTATGTCTTGTCTTGCTTCATTTGGTGTCATGGGTGTGCGAGTGGTTGCACACATTTTTTTTGCGGAGGCAAAGACCAAATTGGCACGCTGCAAGAAGCTCTGCGAGCACTTTCAGTTGGGTGCTGATCAGGTGGACGCACACACGCACGAGCTGCTTGCTTTTTTCCCCCCGTCATGCGGTGCCGCAGGCGGAAGCTGCAGCTCTGCGAACTTATCTCGAGGAGTTGAGACTTGCCGTGAGGGCCACTAGCCGTGGTTGCAGCTTTCGATGGGTGGAAGACGCTTTTTTTGGGGCAGAAATAGGGGATGGAACGCACACGCTTGGGGCTGGTGAAGGGAAGCGACACAACTTGCCACACGGCTAGGAGCTTGCTCCAATGCTCCGAGAATGCAGGTGCGAGTTTTGTTCCCACTTGGTAGACATCATTTCCAGGGGGATTTGTGTTTACAAGGTATTCCCCAGTTTTTTGATAACCGCATTGACGTCAGGCATTGACCATCTATGAAGGTTTAGCTCCAGAGCGACCGACAGGTATAACCTGGGGGAGGGTGAAGAGGAGGAGGATGCGCTGAAAGCTTCCGTCTCAGACCCTTCAACTGCACTTTGAACGGAAATGCCCGTGCCATGAGGTGGCAGCCGGCAAAAAGATCGCACAGGACCGGGCGAACTAAATATGTGCAATGTCCATCTATACATCTTATGCTCATATACACATGATACATATTGTGCATGTATGGCTTTCTCGCTTGCGAGGGTTGTACACGTGTTGAGCTTGTGCATTTTGTTTTTTGGACTACAGAAGGCTGAATATCGGGCCAGCTCCTTTCGAGTAGCCCCGGTACGAGAAAGTGGAGAACTGGCCTAGCTCCCTCAGGGGAGAAGGCCTTGCTCCTGTCACTTGTGCCTGAGAGGCCTTTGGGAAGGTGCAGTTGACAGGAGAGGTCACCCTCCAGCCCCAAAAGTGCCTGCTGGGCTACGCTGAGCGAGGCTGACCTTCGAGGGACCCAAAGCCGTTTGAGCCGAGCCGGTTCCGGATTGGACACGATCGCTGCGGAGCACCGGTTCCTGCGTTGATCAAGTTGAGGGAAGAGATCAGACTTTTCAACGCCGACCACATTTTGGCATCAGATGGGTACCGCCAGTGGTACATGGAGAATGAAGTGAGGAGAGGCACCTTGTACCACTTATGCCAAGTTCCAGAAATGGTAATGCTGATGATAAGATGATGACTGATAAGAAAAGATAGAGAAAAGGTAGATGAAAGACAGAGAAAAGGTAATGATGACTTGAAATGTATACATAAGAACAGAAAGAGATGTCGATGACTATGGTAATGGTAATGGTCATGATGATGATGATGATGATGATGCTGATGATGATGATGATGATGACTATGATGACAACTGTCATTGTAGCATCCCCTGCACCCCCAGCAGCGCGCGTGATGATCACCATGATGACGATGATAACTATCATCGTAGCATCCCCTGCATCCCCAGCGGCGGTCATCAGCCGTGTGCGATGATGGCCACCATGATGACGAAAATAAGTGTCATCGTAGCATCGCTTGCGTCCCTGCATCCCCAGCAGCGCGCGTGACGATTGCCATCACCCGTGTGACGATGATGATGACCATGCTGATGATGATGCTGACTGTGATGATAACTATCACCGTAGCATCCTCTGCATCACCAATGCCGCCTAGTAGACTTGAAACAAGAGTCAGTGTCTTGTTGGAAGTCTTTACGTTTCAGCAGGAAAAGCAAAACAGGAGAACTTGTTGGGCGTGTGGGAGGAAGATGCAAACAACAACTGATGGGTTTCCCTCAGTTCTTTTGTTTTTCATTTATCCCGCACAAAACAACACTCCAGGTTTCTTTGGGTTGTGCACATCCGGCCCTCTAAAAGGTACTTAAACATGATTTTGCATCTTCAGCATCAGTCTACAACTCGTAAAAACCAGAATGCTAGGCACTCCGGCATTAAAGATGTGTATTGTCAATACTCAATCACCACGTGAAAGGACATCAATAAGCAAAATTGGATCACGTGGGGGGGGTTGGCTGACCATATACATGTCTATATCTCCACACGCTTATACGTGTATATACATGTACATATGCACAATCATGAAAATGCAAGTCCAAGCTCAGTCAGCACTACTTTTTAAAGTTCGTACGTGCGGGACGGCTCATAGATACTCGCTTGAGAGCATGTCAACGATGTCGAACATGCACGGTCAGAATTGCCAGGCGGTCCAGGGGGACATGGTCTACCGCGGACATCCAGTGTCCATACCATCCGACAAGATCAGATCCACGGTCATGCAAGCTGGCTTAGTTCAGGTTCACAGAAAACAATGAAACTGATGCATGTCTGTACTTGGAATGTTCCAAGGAGTTGCTTGGAGTCCGCCAAAGCATTGCAGGCGCGTTAGGCCTTTTTTCAGGCTAAGAAGCGTTCGGGCAAGCTGTTGCAGGCAGACACGGACTCTCAAGACGGTGGACCAGTTGCCACAGAAAAGTATGGCAGGAACCCCAGACTTTCGCCAGATTTCTTAGGCAATTTGTTGCGCCTGAGGCGAGCTGTCCGTGAACTTTGGAGATGTTCTCAAGGCGCTAGGGATTTGGACCTCCATGGCTTGGTTTCCCTTCAAAGCTACCTGAGCCACAATCAAAACCCGGGTGAAGGTTAGTCAGGGACAATCCAACCATAAATAGCTGCGGCCGCCTTCCTAATTCTTCACATGGTTCTGGGTAGACCGTTGTACTACCGGGTTTTGACTATGACTCACCTGACAACGGTACCTTCAAACAAAGCGCACGCTTTGGCCATGCCCCGGCCTTAGACGTCCGGTGAGTGCGAGGATGTCCGTGGGGAGATGATGGCCGCGGGCGCCGATGCTGACATAGCTGAATGGCGCATTGCGGAGGCGGGGCTTCCTTTTTTATTATAATAATACAAACACTGACAACTGTATAGTTGGCCGGTGTAAAGAAACCCTTGTGGGCGTGTCTTTTTGTGTCCAACTCTCAACTCATGGCCACTTGGTTCTTTCGGGCCTGGAATCCATCGAGGGTGTTTTTCCGTTGCCCTGTCTAAGACAGTAAGCTCAACGTTGCCAGGCCTTCATCAGAGAGGTCTCCATTGGTCTGAGCCACCTGACCGCATGCAGCTTTCGAGTGGGCTGGATTCATGCGGTGCCTTTGGGAGGGGAACTCGCGAAATTCCCACAACAAAGAAGCATGCCCTCTCTGGGGAAGGAACTTTGACCATGGCAAATATGCTGCTGTGTGCGGAAAGATAGCGATGGTCATAGAGCCTTGATGGGGAAAATAGGGATTCTATGTGAAGCAGCACGAGTGGACCCTGGCACATGCGATGGAATCGCCAGGCGCCGAGCGGAACCTGATGCTGCTCAGGCGGCGAGCCGACTGCCGGTGTTGTAGTCATATGACACTGTGGGAGGGGCAACAAGCTCTTGAGAATGTTTCTAGACATGCCTGATTTTGCATGAGTCTTGACGGAGCACATTCCCAGAGCACATGTCCTTTTTTTTGCACGCGATATCCTTCTTCGGCCCAGGGGGCATTTGGCCAAGATGGACGACATAGAAGATGTCAATAGTATCGACTCCCGCCGTCATTGCCGACCGGAGGAGGCAGGGTGACCCAGCACCGGGAATGTGGGTTGTGTCGAATACCAGTGGGCTTGCTTTTGGCTTTGATTGAAACCAACCTGAGGGTATCCTCAACAACACACACACACACCCATGTGGGGTGTGTTTTCCAGGGCACCCTTTTGGGAGTGAGTTTGGTCGCCCTACCTTGACACGCAATGTGCCATGTTGGCAGGGCATGCGCTTTTGCGAGCTCGTCAAGGAGGATCTCGCAGCTCTCACTGAGCTACCCGAAAGCTCAGGAGAATTCGAGGCGCGGATGGCAAGTGCTCCCAGAAACCATTCCGGAGTGTGTCAGACTAGGGATTTGGGCCCCGACATGGCTTCGGTTCTCCTTTTGGTTTCGCTTTCAACCACCTCTCCAAAATGGTAGCGGCTTGGCTGACCGGCTCGAGTTTCTTCAGGCTGCGTTGACCGCCTACAAGAAGGCTCGCCCTCGTTTTATTTTATTTTTTGGCAGGCTCGACCTCGGCAGTCAGCGCAGGTTATCCAGGACTACAGATGTTTGTACCTGGCCCTTTGCCACACAGCCATTGGAAAGCTGCTGGAGGCGAATTGACTGCTCGTCTGCTTGTTTGGGTGTTTGTTTGCTTGATGGTTTGTTGGTTCCGGATGTGTCTCACTGTGCACGCGACCGTGTGTTACCGTGTGCAAGACCGGGTTTGTGCATTTGTGATTTCGATGCAGGCAGCAGCCCTCCTGGATTTGTTGTCCAACCGAATCGAGGAGGCCTGGATGCAAGTATGTGCCAACGTATCATGCAGTAGCAATGTATGTTAGATACTTGTACATGCATGTTCCAACCAACCAATCGGAGGATCTCTCATCCAGCAGGATGCAAAACATTCAGGCGGTTCTATGGCAATCCCAGACAAGCGTTTCTCAAAGTCGAACCGCTTTTGGTCGGCAATTTAAAGAGAAGCCAAAAGGATACGTTGGAGGTTCCAGGAAGGCGGCACCATCCATTTCCTTTTCTTTTGACAACCCATGGGCAATCCATCGACGTCAACGACTGGCCTGCAGGCAGGCAACGAGGGTCCATTGCCTCGCCTTCAGAAGCTCTTTCAGCAGATGCAGGAGCCACTGCAGCCTCTCAGCTCAAACGTGGTCCATTGGACCCATGTTGGGACACGAAGACACGAAGACCCCAAAACCCCTGGGTGGTTGCAGTCTGCGCCGCGGTTTGCATCTGCATGCGAGCAAGGTCCCGAGTTGCTCGCTGGCGGTGTAGGGTTTTGGTGCTGTTGGCAAAGGCCCGCGCGGGGTGATTAGGCTTTTGGCGGTAGTGAAAGCTTGGAAGCTTCACATGGCAGGCACACAAGAAGAAGCAGGAATCCGAGGTGGAGGCATGGGATCTCGCCACATGCGTTTTTCATAGGGAAGGCAAAAGGAAACTGTGGTTCCCCTCGCTCTTTGCGGGACGCGCCCGTGTCAACGTCCATGCCAAGGAGCCCACTGCAGCAGAGCAGACGAAGGCGAAGCAGGAACGCTCTTAGATGTTAGGCTGTGCGCAATTGGCTCGCATGAGAGGACCCACTTGCCACGTTCCCGCCGACATTCCGGGACGTCCCGTGCAAGGCTGCACTTGCGCCGTCTCACTCGAGTATCTTGCAAAGATTTGGGATTGAAGACGGGAGGATATAGGGGACTCAATGTCCTTACGACTGGAGGGCCCAACTGTTTCCATTCCATATTCATTTGGGGGAACATGTACTGTCTGTAACTCAGATATTCTGTGACAGTTGTGGCACTGCCCATCCCTATTGCCAAACATTGCCAACCCTGCGCAGCCCCTGCTGTTTGACCTGGCCTTCCCGTGCATCCAGCTGTGGTCTGAGTGAAGGTCATTTGATTCTTTTGTAGGGTACCCTTTTTCGGGTTGTGTCAAAGGGAAGCAAAAGAGAAACTGCATATTTTAGAGGTTGACAATTCATTTTGAGAGAGACCCTTCTGACTGTCAACCGATTGGCTGGGCTATGGCATTTTGTAGCTGTCAGCATGTGAAGCCACAGCCTTTCATCCTGATTGGATGTCCTGTGGAGTCTTGGTGCTTCAAACACCGGCCTAAGGCCTCCTAACCTGGACGAGATCCTCCCCAAGAAACAGGAAGGCAAGCTCGCATGTCGCTGGCAGTGTGGCAGATTTCGGGTTGGCATGCTGTACAGGGTGCGCAAAAGACATCCCAAAGCATCATGAGATCCTGAGCTTGATGTGTGTGTGTGTGTGTGTGTGCGTGTACGTGTGTGTTTGTGAGGCGCGGCACCCTTTTCAGGTTGGTTTGAAGGAAACAAAAAGGACACCCACCGTGGGGCGCTTCCACAAACCTGGAGGCAAACGCCATATGTTCTGAATGCCCTCAGGCAAAGGTCGTCAAGCCGTGGCGGCTGTGGCTGGAGCACTCGGACTCGTGCTTAGATTGCTGGTCTGAAGGTTTGAAAGGGTGCGCGCAAAAAGAAGAAGTTTAGGAGCAAAAGCACACATTGTATCACTTTGTAGTGATGACTCGATAGGAGAATAGATATTATGTCGCAAGAGCATTTGGGGAAATCTGAGCGGGCACACAGCAGGACCACAAGTCCTCATTCGACTCAGGTGGCCTGGGCAGTCGGTTGGGCGGCTGGATGGGAAGGAAGCGGGCGCCTCATGGTGTCAGAAGGATTTGGACGAACAGACCCAAGTCTTGGAGAGTGACATCTGAATCACTCAGGTAGAGATTTGGTGTGGGACTGGCCCGACTGGCAGGAAAAAGCAAGGCTTTCGCCAAGCGCGAGCGAAAGACTCAGCTTCCACGGATCCGAGAACCGCGACCATCCCGCGTCCCAAGCTTTTGCTGACTAGGAAAGAACGTGAGCAAGATACATGAAGTCACAACAGCGATGTGGGAATTATGGAGCATGTGGGCCAATTCTGGGAGAAAGGTGGCCACTCCTGCCACAGCGGCCAGATTTTCCAGCCCCCTCGGATGAAAGGCAGTCAGGCCAAAGTCTTCTGCTTTGTCGGTCTTATCAACGAAGTCTGTGCAATCAATTCAGAGATTTGGCATAGTGGCCAGAAGTGCCGCCTCCCTGTGACACTGTGTCGTGTACATCCGGATGCATCCCTGCAATGGGCATCAATTTGCGAGATCATGCCGTATCGAGTCATTCTGCCCTGCTTAAGACGGAGGGCTCTCTCATGCTTTGGGCGATTTGGACTTCAGACCCCCAGACCTCTGGATTTGGGTGTCTGTTCTTGGAGGCTCGGTACCCTTTTCAGGGTGTTTTTGGGTCCCCGTATTTTGACACATACCCATTTAGCAAAAGAGCTCCATGCCTTGCCAGAGGCCTGGCTCAGACTCAGCATTGTTCGATGCCAGGCTGGCGACACTGTTGGCTCCTTCACAGTGGATCGCCTTCTTGGTCGAGGAGCATATGGAGAGGCGAACCCAATCCCATCAAAAGCCGCAATCAAAACCCGGTGAGTGGCCGGCCAGGGACAGTCCCAGCCAGAGAAATACTGTATATCCTTTTAGTGCCAGGTTGTGAAAGTGACTCAAGAGGGGCACATGCAAGGTCTTCCAGGGAAGTTCCGTTACGGTGCTTGGCACGATGTCAAATTTGTCCAGCATTGCTTTGCAGGTTTTCCTGGTCCACGCACGTGCTCAACATGCCATGAAGGCCCTGCCATAACTCTGCCAGAGATCATACTTGTGCGTGCTTTTTTGAGGGTCCTTTTTGGGGAAAGGGCAACCAGAGGGAAGATCACCCATTTTGTGGGGGCCCATTGTTTGAGCCGCATGTCCAGGTGCTTCCATGCGACGTCGCCCCCAAGGCCAAGGCTTAAAGCCTGTTATCGCATACCTTCGGAAGCCATGGCAGGAGTTTGGAGGTCGTCAAGACGATCCAACTCTGCAGGTGCTTTCCGGCACACGTCGCCAAGTAGAGCGTGTCTTGTCAGGCTGCCCTCGCTGAAGCCAGCCTTCTGCAGGACGCGACTGCTCGAACTGCTCCGCCTGTTGGATCCCCCATTCTTTTCAGCCATCGTTCTTTTCAAAAACTAGCCATTTCCCCTTTCCCAGGGTTTTTTGTGGTTTTCTAGAAAGAAGGATCCTTGGAAAGAATGGGGAAGTTCCCCGAGAACATTCCCCTGATGCGAGGAATTGCGCTACCCTCATATCGCCCGCATGCTCAGCTTCGTGAAGCTGTGGTCACCTGTGGCTTCTCCGATTAATTAGCTGCAGGTCAGCTGCCAAGACATCCTCTTCGATGCAGATCGGAGCGTAGTTTGCTTACTGCCCGCGCCTTGGCACCTACAACTGCCATATACTGGCCCCCAAGGGGTTCTTCTCAAAATAGGGCACCCCCACGACTGGTTGGTTTGACATGTTTGTTCTGGGTCAAATCCCAGAACCGGTGGGTTTTTGAACGTAGGTATATGTTCCAGGTGAATTCGAGGCCAAAGGGAAGATGCGCATCGCCCGAGCAGGTTGGAGTACATGGACGGCGGTGACCTCCACGCCTTGATCGAGCACCACCGCGAGGCGCGTCGTTCGTAAGCCCAAGCGCGCCGAACGGAGCCGCGCGAATCGTCGACTCAAGGGTCGGTTGATGTCCCCTTGAAGGTTTGTTGGCTACTACCTCCCCTTTAAACGGTTGTTGGCCACTTTAACTTTTGGCTACCTGCGGTGGTCGATTTTCCCCAAGAAGGGCGAGCCAATTCTTTGGGTTGAAGTTTTCCTTGAGGCCGAACATTGGCGTGGAGTTTGCATTCCGTCAGGCGGACTCAAGCTTTGATGGACACTTCCCTCGTCGAGTTCTGGCGGCGGTTGGAGGGGCGCTGCAGCGCGAGCCTGAGGTCATGAGATTGCCGCGATCCATTGATCGCGCCCGTTTCGCCTTGGCTCAAAACAAATAACGGAAAATCGTAACTTCGGTGCTCCCCTGTAGCACATTTCCCAGTTGACACGGTGCAACTTGAGGTACATTCATGCAGTGGGAATCCTTCATCGGGATGTGTGGCACCTAATTGACCGCTCACCGCTTGGGGCACCCTTGTACATTTCTACTAGTCTTGTGTTGGCTCTTGGAGATCCTTGCCAGGTCAAGCCAGCAAATGTGCTTCTATCCAGGAGAGGTTGGAAGCTTTCAGAAGCACACCCCGATTTTCTGTTTCCAGCCGGAACCGATCAAAAACCAAACCCGTTCAAAGGGTCCTGTGGGGAGGCTGCTGACATGTGAACGGTTGGGTCAGCGTCAGGAGATCACACCGCATCAAACTCGCCGACTTCGGAATCGCCAAGCTGGTGGAAGCCTCCACCCTCCGGGCGCATACGCTGGTGGGTACGACGGGGCTCTCAGATTTTGCGCGCTTGAGGATTGGGGGGCGTTTCGGGGTGTTAGGGTGATTCCAACTCATTCCCTTAGCGAAGCCAATCCCAAGTCTGAGGCCTTACTATTTCTCCCCGGAGCTGGTCTCTGGTGAGGTGTACGGGGCCCCCGCCGACTGCTGGGCTCTAGGCTTGGGTTCGGGACGGACTCGCGTTTCAAAGCCAGGGGACTCGCTCAACCCCAAGGGACGAGCCCTAATCTATGCGGCAAGGAGACCGTAATTTGACCGGGAGCGCCTGGCCAGGCGCTGTGCTCTACGAGATGGCGGCTTTGAGGCGGCCCTTCGAGGCGAGGCCATTGCTTCATTGCTTCGCTCGCTTCTTTGCTGTTTTGGAGCCATACATTCCACCCCTCTGTTTTTGGGACATTCAGATATTTTCGAGTCTTGTCTTATTCCCATGTTGGGTAAAAGGAAAATAACGTTCAGGAGACCCGTTCAGCTGCTTCGACTTTTCATCGGGTTCCGACCGCTTGCACCGAAGGACAATCATTTGTGCAGCATCTGAAAGGAACCCATTTGTTAGAATCCATTCAGCTTCAGCCAGCTTTGGGTTCCGCCCGAGGCCAGTAATCAGCTGGCCCTGGTGCGCAAGATTTGCGAGGAGAGTTGGGATGGCAGAAGTGCCCCTGGGTCAATATCCCCGGCGAGCAAATAGCAGGATTTCAGACATTGATTTGAGGTTCTGACTGCGCGTGAATGCTTGCCCTCTCAGCCATTGTGCTCAGAGGTCGAGGGAGTAGGTGCAACGGCCGTGATGCAAAGACATGGCTTATGCGCAATCGGATCTTCGAACGAGACGTGGCCAGACCTGATACGTATGTTGTGAATACATGTATACTTTATGAGGAGATGGCAAGGATCGCCATCCATAGCATCCCACATAAACAGCAAACTTCCTGCAAGGGGTTCATAACTCTCCTGGCACATATACTGCATTGGAATGGGTCGGAGCGTTTGAAGGCTCCAACTTCCCCAGCAGCTACGGCGGTTCTGACGGCGGCTTCGGCGGCTCTGAGAAGCATGACCGGCATGATGACAGCCTGCCACTCTGGCAGATGCCTCGACACTTACAGGCCCCGTCTTTTGGAATGTCTTGCATGCGATTCGTTCCAAGTCGTTGGTTCCGGTACTGTTGGCATTGTCGGCATTGGCGACATTGTCGGCATCGGGCGTCGGTGTCCTGCAGGTGACCTTTGTCCTCTTGTTTGTCACGGCAATGTTTTTACACGCCGATCAGAACTTGGCGGCTCCCAACCTTTCCGCCATTGCGAGTGACTTTCAGATGACGCCCATGCAGAAGGACGGCTTGCATGCTTTTGCACATTGGTGGGAATGCGTTGTGCAGTCACTTCGATACAGGACTCGCGGCTTGGGGGCCTGGTCCAATTTGGCTTCTTCCTTGTCGGCGGTGTCTTGGCCTTTCGAAGATGGTTTTCACACTGGTGTCCCTTGCCGTGCTACGTGCAAGCATCCTGCAGTCACACTTTATGCCCATCACGCTCGGTTTTTGCATACTATCTCTTTTGCTTGCGGTAGACCAAGAATGCCGCAGAATGCCACGTTCGCGCCACTTGATAGGCTTTCACGACTGGCTCTTGGGGATCTTATGTTGGCGGTCGAAGGTTATTTGCGGACATAAGGTGCCGTGTCTGTTTTGGTGGGGCCGGCGGCGGACCAGTTCGACAGAATATCGGTGCTTTGTGGCGTCGTGCTCTGCGGCTGTATCCCCTCCTTGCTGATGAGCCTCATGGTCCCATCCACCAAGGTCGGGATGCACTCGATTAGTGGGCAACAACCCCGGATTAGTACGGTCCATGGGCCTCACTTTTTCGCTTTTTGCGTTGCTCCGTTGCCCGTTGCTGTCTTTCGGCGTCAGGCGGGCTTCTTCTACTTCTTCATGGCGAGGATATGCACGGGTGCCCCTTGCTCAGGATTGAAAGGCTTGGCTTGGTCATGGCTTGCAGTGAGGTGGCCATTGGAGGCTCCTTTCCAGAGCCTTGGCTGCAGTTGGCCGCCGCATTTCTCAAGACCAGATGCTTCAGGGATGTTGGTGTTTACAGTGACATGTGAGCGTTCATGTGTGGGCGCATGATGTTTGTGTGTGTGTGTATGCTCTCAGATCAGGTGCTCTTCGCTTTTTCCGCGGATGTTTTCCCGGCTTCGCAGCGAACGCTGATTTCTGGAGCTCTGAATGCTGCTGGCAACATTGGGGCCGCGCTTGGCGGACTCATGTCCCCTGGCTGCAAACCAAGCCTCAAGTGCAGCTCAGATCTCCGAGCCTCAAACGAAAGACATGGTTGTGGCTCAAATGAAAGAGGTAGGGTTACGCAGGTTTTAGTCTCTGGTTCCATGAATCAACTTGCCATGTTGGTACATGTTTTTGACCCACAGCCACATGTTGCCTGCTGCTAGGTCGGGGGTTGTCGGCCCAAGCTATGGCGCCGTGGAAGCAAAAGCGGACGGGGCACCTTTGGATCTCCCGATCCGCAAGATGCGCTTGCTTAGTGGTTTGCTTGTTCCAACGTGGGCTGGTTGAGGTGCCTTTTTGGGGATTCGGGTCCCCATGTCCGCCATCCAATTCGCGCATTCGCGAGGCTGGAGGACTCCGTTCACCATCATTGCCGTGCCAACCTTGGTGTGCGCGGTGCTGGTCCGCCTTTGCCTCTCAGACCCACGCACAGTGCAGAAGGCGTGCCCAGTGTTTTATGTAGCCGTGTTTCACTGGGAAACCTCTCTGGCTGGGGGGGGAAAGCCACAGGGAACCAGCCATTGTTTGACTTACCTACAGACATGTTTGCCAGGCCAAAGCCAAGCGGGAGGAGCCCATTCTGAATGAGGAGCGCGGATCCCCCCACTTCGCCCCATGAGCACCTCGCGTTGCCAGGCCTTTTCAGCTTGGATGGGCGGCTCCGAGATCAGAGGGGAGGGCCTGAGCATGGAAGACCTCGTGCGGCGCCAATCTTTTTTTCTTAGCGGATGAAAGTGGGACTTGTGCTGAGCTGAGGACCTCAGCAAATTTCAGAAGGTGTTTGCCGTGAGGTCCAACGTGCTGATTTTCGTGCAGGCGAGAGTTCTCTTGGCCCTCCCATGGAACCCGACAGGAGGGTTTGGAAGACAGAAGCTTTCCTTTTTGGGAAAGCCCCAAAGCGGCTTCTAGATGGAGGGCATGAACTTTTCAAGTAGGGGACCTCCCAAGAAAGTCCTTAGACGAGCAGCCTCCTTGTACAAAAAGCCCCAAGTTGCCTTTAAACCGTTTGGCTGGGTCCAAAATAGGTACCCCAAATGGAACCCTGGCAAGTGGAAACATGGACCAAAACCTGCGGTCCCCTGGCGGTGTAATTTTGACCCACATCCATTTGGTGAAAATGGCTCGATTCTTTGAGAGGCCCTGCCCGGGTGCATCCCGATCTCTGTGATTGTCACCTTCCTGGCCGACTACCTGGCCACGGACCAGGGCATGGCGGTGGAGGCGTGGGGATTTCTGCGGTTCTGGGAGTGTCATGTGGCTGTGGCTCAAAATTCGGTCCCCAAAGAGGAACCCTGGTAAATGGACACGTGCACCAAAACTTGCGGTCCTCTGGTGGTTTAATGTTGACCCATGCACATTTGTTTTCTAGACCTTCCAACTTGGGCTTCCCTGAAGAAGAACCCAAAGGCTACCTTCGCCTCAAAACAGGACAGCATGTTTTTCTTGCAAATCGATCGGACCCCAGCCACAGAGATGTCCAATATGCGATTTCTACTTTTAGGACGCCTGGGCGTAAGAATCTTCCCAGTACATCTTCCCAGTACATTTTCCCATTACACGATGCCCGCGTAACGCGTCACCCACTCCGCGGACCCGGAACGCCTCCTCATGGGCGACGAGCAAGGACAGCTTCAGACTTGTCGTGCGCGCCGTAGAAGAGGCGGGTGACGTGTAAAACGACTACACCATCAAGAACCCGTCAATGATTTCCCAGAAAGCTTTCACCCCTAGTTTGATCGTGTTCATGGAGAAAGCCAAGCGACACTTCCTCCAACCCAGATTGCCTTCAACAAGGCTGCAATCCGCGCCTCGAGCGAGAAGCTTGACGCGCTAAGCTGGAGAATCCGCTGTCCACATTGGGTGTGCAGGTTGCCATGTGCAAGATCCGAGGCCTCCACAGCTGTCACAGCGATCTTCGGCTTGAGCTGCCTGTGCTTTGGTGTTGCTGGGGGCGTCCTGGGGCAGACACTGTGGAACCAGAGGCTGGTGGCTTTGGGTGCACTATCCTCCCCCGCTGCCCAAAGCAGGCAGAAGAACATGCAGCACTTCTGCCTGCTCACTGCTAGCGGTATGTTTGTCTGCAACTCAGCAGCTCATGTTGCCGTGAATTTCAATGGGGAATCTCCAAAGGTGTTTTTGCACCTTCTATCCCCACCTAAATATCCACCAAAGAGTCCCTCATTAAAATTCGCCATGTGAGAGCTTGCAACTCTTCGGCAGATGGTACCAGCTTCCAAGGTCGCGCCATTGCCCTTCATGCTTTTGGTGAACTCCTCTCAGGATGGGCATGCTTTTGGTGTGCTTTTTGTTCGGGGACCCCGAAAAGAGTGGTTGTGGTTTTTCTGACCCTCAAAAGAAGACACCCGCGTCGTGATTGCAGAGATGGTTACTTTGTGCATAGGCAATGATCACAACAGCAGCGGGGCGGCCGACGATGTACGCATTCTTCCTGGCCTTGTGTGGCGGCTGTGCGGCCTTGGCAGGTCGGGAGACTCGCACAGTCACCAGTCGCAGTCGCGGACAACCGAGACGTGTCCGTGATAGATTTTTGGGTGTTGGCCTTGACTGCCTGTTGCACACGGCGCGTTTGGTCCAAACTGTATCTTCGAAAGATGCCATTTAGTTTGAGATTGCCTGACGTGTTTGAGATTGCCTGACAGGTCCTAACATCCGAGCCATTCTGATGAATGTGAACCCCTCCGAGCGGCGTGGCACGGTCTTCTCTGCCTTTACGCTCTGCGATGATCTGGGGAAGGGGCTGGGCCCAAGCTTTGCCACGCGGCTGCTAGAGACACCTGCAAACAGAAGCATTGCTCAGCAAGTGGCGCGCTTTTCTTTGAGTTCTGCAGATTTGCACTCAGGTTGTTGCCTTGGTGTCAATCGTTGGAAGACGCCGAGCTTTCTCCATGGCATTTGCAGCCTGGTGGGTCAGCGCCTGGGCAGCAGGTTCCTGATTGCATGCAACTTTGGGCGGAACTCCAGTGGAATTCAATTTTCAGGTGGTGCCATCGTGAGCCAGCTGCGGCACTCCTTGCACGCCGACGCAGCGCGAGGCGATTCGATCCTCCCCACCAAGAAGATGTGAATCTGTTGGCCGGTGACTCGCATCCCCGACGAGCTCGCCAAGGGGCCTCGACTTTCGGCGCGACTGCGCCGTGGGGCATCCATGGCAGGTGCAGCAGCTCAGAGGTAGAATGTATGGCAGCTCAAAGGTAGCTTACGAGTGTGGCAGGCGCAAGCGCGGAACAAAGTCCGCTGAACGTTTGGGAGTTCATGCAGTTGCTCAAAGCGGCTTTTACGCTTTTCTCAGTGAAACCGTTCTCCAGGATGCCCCTGCGGATCTTCCTGATCTGCCCTGAGTTGTGCAGAGAGACGGGAGAGTGAGATTGGTGTGCTTCACCTTTTCAAAGACAAGCAAAACCCGGCTAGATGAAGGTTGGTAAAGGACAATCCCAACCATAAGTAGCTGCGGCCGCCTTCTCAACTCCTTACATGGTTCTGGGTAGACCATTTTAGTACCGGGTCCCCCGAATTGTCACTCATGTCGGGTCCCCCGAATTTACCACAAACCCCCTGGTGTTGAGACGCATCCCATCTGAGTCCAACACTGCTGAAGACATCACAGCCGCTGTCCTCGGGCTGCTGCGAAAGGACGCCCACGGATTCTTGCGCATGGCAACCATGGCCAAAAAGGGTGTCTCTTTTTTGCAGCCTTTGTGTTGAGGGTACTCTTTTTAGGCTTGAGTTAAAAGGGACCACAAGAGAAACAACTATTTGGGGGGTCCGAATCCTAAAGGAAGCCACGCCGTTGCTACCCACAAATGGGGAGGGATGCCCAGGAGGTGGCAAGCCGAATGACCTTGGTCAGGGCCTTAGAAGGTCGTGCGAACCAATCCGGATGCTGGAAGCCCGACACCAAAAAGGAGAACATATTTTTCTTCAGAGCAGATCACTCTAAACGTGCGCATTTTTGTGGTCACCAAAAAGCAAAAGGTTTCACACACTCTTCTCAAAAGAAAGGCGCAAATCCTCCAGAAAGCCAAACAACACAAGACTATGTCTACAGACCAGACTTGGGGGCAAAATCTTTCTTGGTTTCTCGAGGTTTTCTAACACTGTTCCCAAAAAAGGCACAGCACCTTCAGAAACCCAAAACCAAAAACAAAAACAAAACACAATACTATGTTCACAGACCAGACTTGGGGGCATAGTCTTGTTTTTCTTTTTGTTGGGTTTTTGCATTCTCGAGTGTTTTTTTTGGCATTTCTTTGGACACACGTGAACAATGTGGAGAAAACCAACAAAAACCTGGAGAAAACCGACAAAAAACAACAAAGCACAGGACTCTGTCAGCTGTCCTGACTTGGGGCATAATAGTTTGTTGTTTTGTTGTCCCATTTGTTTTGTATTTTAAGAGCTTCCGAGGTCAAGTGCGCTGATGTAGTTCACATCCAAGCCGTAATACAGTAAGCTAGAGACGGTTTCCTTTACGTGGGCTCGTTCCTTGTTTAGTTCTCCTTAATTGTAGTTGATAATTAGCTTGAACTTGATACATATATTAAGTAGAATTCAAAAACAGTTTACACATCCCAACTTTGTTAAATACAGTACGTTCTTTTTTGAGACAGGATAATCATTACTTCAGTTTCAAAAACAATGAACATGGTTGGGTTCTGTCCTTATTGAGTGCCATTTCACGTGAGATAGATATCAAGTAGAACTTGATAGATAAACATATATATATATATATGCTCACACCCCCCCCCAGGGCCTACCTTTCCACTTCAAAATGTACAAAACCCTCTTATTTTTAAAGACAGGGGGTGTGAGCATATATACGCAAGAAGTGTGCTGTTGCTGCATATTTTTTGTGGGTGACAAGTCATGTTGAGTAACAACAGCAAAGAGTTTATAAACTTACAAGACAGTTTATAAACCATGTCAAGGGTTTGACGGTTTCCCTGCAACAAGGGCAGGGGGGGGGTCAGAACTCTTTACGGGGGGGTACTGAGAAGTCTTTACAAAGTTGGCTGAGTCACACCTCACTGCTAAGACTTCCAACCAACCCCCCCCCCCATCCTTCAACGATACCATGAACACTTCGTAGGGTGTTGTTGCCTTGACGCGGGAAACTCGTCAAACACTCAATAAGGTTTATAAACTTTCCTGAAAGTTTATAAACCTTCTGTAGGCTTATTGCGTAGCAAGTGGAGACTGTTGTTTGGGAAAAAAGGACACTCATTTGAGGCCTTGTTTGATGTGGTTTGGGCATGTGGTCCTAAAAGGTTGATGATTGTGTGTGGGTGTGTCATCACTGCTGCACTGTTATATCAAAGGCTGTCCATTCGGTCCAAGGGAACACAATCTGAGCAACTGCTGCAAAACACTCTGTTTTACAGCATTTTGTTGGATCTCTAATCCCTTGAAATGTCCAATTTGAAACACCTGAAACCTAGAATCTGGAGATCAGAATCCTTGAGATGTCTAATGTTGGATTCTCCAAGCCTCATAATTTGGAGCCTGGAGTCCAACATATCCAAGTACACATTTGTTTCCAAATACGATTTTGATCCGAATTGAATTTGCATATTGAATAGAATTTAGTAAGCACATAGTTCACCACCATTCATAATTCACCAGAATGTCTATATTAGATCAGAATTTGAACAGGAATACCTTTCCAAATAAGGAAAATATGAAGTAGAATCCAAATATACTTTAATGCAGACAGAATTCAATTAGCTTTTGAACATAATAATTTAATCAAGAATCCATCCCCAAATACAGCTTGAATTGGAATATAGCTTATTCTGGAAAGAAATCACTTGGCCTTTGCAATCAAATTTTAATAGTAACTCATTCCCAAATATGATTTAGCTTAAATGTGGCTAAACAAATAAAGGGCACATATCCCCAGACTCCCAAACTTGGTCTGGAGATGTGTTTGGCATGTGCAGGTCTCAGAGCTTTCATTTTCAGGAGATTTTGTGCTTTTGGGTCTGTGCAGGTTGCAGAGCTCAAAGCTGCCAAAAACATCATTTTTTCAATGTTTTTCCCTGGTGTACTCAAAACCACTGTAAAAACCAGTGATTCAATCAAAGCCAGGCTCGAATCTGAAAACGGAATCCGTTTTCGCTTTGCTGCCTTTCAAGCCTCAAATAATCAGACATTTGCTGTCACATAGAAGGTAAACAAAACAACAAACACACTGTATTTTACAGTGTTTTCAGGCATCTGCAAGAAAGAGGCACACAGAGTAGAGTTGACACCTTCAACTAGAAGAGGGCAAAGGTAGGCCCTGGGGGGGGGGGGGGTGACCATATATATATATATACATACACATAGTAGCATTCACAAGTAGCGGTCCCGAACATGTCGAATACATGTTGTTAGATGCTCAATGTTTTGTAGGGAGCTTTCTATTGGAAAGGAGTTCCTGTGTAACATCTATTTCGAACGATAGTAATCATTGTTTAAATTCCAGTTGAGCATAGACATTATGATTGGAGTCTTTCCTTAATATTAGTAATTTCTATTTAACTTCAGTCAGAAATTGAGTAGAATGTGAGACAGGTATTTAGTAGATTTCATAACAACAGAAGTCAGAGGTCCCGAAACCGTGTCTTCTGTTCACTAGCCCCAGCTCTACCATTGTCAGAAAACAATGTAAAGCACTGATTGTAGCGTTTTTTTTGTACTCCATTCACATCTCCACCAACGGGCCGCTCTCTAAAATTCAGTTTGAATTGGGACTGAACAAGGAAATACTTGATCATAATCCTGCTGGAATCACATCTTACATTTAGACTCTAGACGGAGATGCTTTCCGAATAGAACTTTGCAATACCATAGTTTCAGAAGGAATGAATCCAATCGCAACTTCTATTTTATAATATATTTTCAATTTGAAGGATGTTATTTGGAATGATAATTTGCACAGCCTGTTCTTTCCAATCGAATTTCTTTACTTACACTTCAGAGAACATGTAAACAAACATAGTTCAAGCTGAGTTTCCACTCAAAGCGTGGAACAAACATAAGCAACGCACGCTCCCAGCGTCCCGCTCTCATTTTTTTGGGTGGGGTTCCACCATTTTGAGACACCCATAATATTGGTCTTGCCATAATCCCGCTGGTGAAGCAAGTCCACATCCATTGAGGGGTCCTTTATTGTTTGGTAGAAGGCATGTGAGTATGTTTTTGTTGGGGGACCCCCCCAAATTTGTTGTTTTCCTTTTGGTTTCTCTGCAAAATCCACAAAGAGGGGGTACCCTCGAAGACGACGCCCATGCAGAACTTCCACAGGACCCTCTGACTTCCAAGTCGGCCGCGCGGCTGACGTGAGGACAGCGCGCTTTCCATCAGCAGCTCCGTGGCAGCGCTTGTGGCTCCCCCGTTTGAGGCGAGGGCTACGTCCTTCAAAACCGACTGGCGGTGAACTTGACCAACGTTTGAGAGGTGGTTTTTTACGGAATCGGAGCCCACCTAACTTCGATGTTCCCGATTAAACAAGGCCGGTTGAGGGTCCTGTGAACACGGCCGCCAGGTGATTCTGGAGGAGGCGCGTGTGAGTCTCGCTCCTTCGGCTTGTCCCTTTGCAGTTCCAAGTGCCAGGAACCAGAAGCAGACGCAGAGGATGCTTGCGATGGTTTGGCACGGGGCGATGACAGCTCATGCCTCGGAAATCTCGGAATGCGTGCCAAGCGGTTTGGCAACGATCTTCTTGAGCAGCTTCAACTGGGTCATTGCGACTGTTTCTAGGGATATCGAGGGAGTAGCTGACCCACCACTGGGAGGGAACGTTGATGGCGGCAAAATCCAAAGGCGCATTCAAGGAACCCCCCGTAGGCGATGCTGACAGCTGGCAAGATGCGGAGCTGGTTGAAACCTGGAGAGCAGCCCCGGCGAACATCCGAAGCCAACGGGATGTTTGCAGCGCATCCGTTGGATTTGCCAGGCGTCATCAGCTGCCGGCTTGGCAAGAGCCGCTTTGGGGGCGGATGAGGCGCCCTTTCATGTCGCGGCAAGCGTCGGTGCTACGCACCTTTTTGGCTCAGATGCGCAATCACGCCCTAATATGCTTTAACACGAGGAAACGACAGGACCTTGATGATGCCGAATGCTCGCATGAAATCAAGGTGGGCCGTTTCACTGGTCGGCAGAAACAACAGGCATGCCGCTTCTATCGTTTGGCCGATCTTGAGCAAATGGACATGCCATGTTCATTATTGGCTGGCCTTCAAGTAATCGAAATGCCATCTCATGATTTGGAATGGAAAAAATCATCCCGCGCATTTGTGTCTCCCAACAGAACGGAGCTGCAATTTTAGTATTTGGCCGACTACAACGTGATCCCTGTAGACAATGAGCTTCCTGCAAAGAAACAACGGTTTTCGCAAAGTCAAATTTGTCTAGACCAAATATGCTGCTGATGGAATGAAAGGCCATCATGATGAGCTTCTTGCCAATCCAAGCATGATGGTGCTTGCCCCCCATCCCCCCCATAATGGTAATGCTAATGATAAACATAACAATAATTACTCCTGATAATAACAATGACTGAAATACTTATGCCGCGCAGAGGTGGACCATCCTGCCACCTGGCTGGCCATGCACATAAGATCCGCACGTGGCTTTGGCCCTGGACAAACAAGCATTTATTCCCAGATGTGCATATTTAAGATCGGGTGTACGAACCACGGCAAAGCCAAAGCAGTAGTCATTGCTACACTGCGAACTGACGTTGGGGCACTTTTTTGCAAGCTTGCCAATGGCACATGCTTGCAGGATGACCCAGAGCAACTTCGGAGTGCGCTACTGGCGTTGCAGCTCAAGCCTCGGCAAGAATCAGTGTGGTCAGCCAAGATGTGTCATGTTTGGAGCGTGCGCCTTGCGCCTTTTTGTGGGTTGGTTTGCAGGAAACTGAAAGGGCACTCGCCAACTGTTTGGGTTCCCCTAGGAGAGAACCCCAGGTCTTCCGGGCTGCCAATGCTTATCCGAGGCATGAGCGAGTCCTCATGGAGCCGGCTGCGCCTCGCGCTCACGAGGCTGTGGGGTCTTGTCAACGCACCCCGCGAGTCCCTGACGGTTTCACAGGACGAAGGTCTTCCTTGTGCCGACCCAGGCAAGAGACCTTTGGTTCAGATGAGTATTATGAGACCAAAGCAAAGCCAGAGATGAGCAAGAGATGACAATGAGCGTGGCAAAGCAAGAAATGTGTTCGGCTTGCTTCGCGACTGGGCTTTGAATCCATTTTCGGCCAGCGGTGCGACTGCCAGGAGTGGATGCTCCCGCCTTGGATGCCTTGGCAGAGGAGATTGAGGCTAGGGAATTCTGGCAACCAGTTGTGCCTTAGTCAAATTGCCTGCCCAGTTGGAGTCAATAGGACGTTTATCAACCCTTGAGCAAGCTTAAAGACAGCCGGTGAAAGACTCTCTGATGTGAACTATGACTATTCCGCCCTCCATAGGATTGGACAATGCGTCAAGATGCAAAGTGCCAGGTCCGTCTTGGGGCACTGCGCGTTGATGCAGCAGCATTGCTCGAAGGGTCCGGAAGCCTAGCCCCACTGGACTGCTGCATTTGCAAAACTGAGCAGATAGTGCCCGAGCAGCACTATGCTTCCGGCGCCTGGTGTATTCTTTTGCAAGTCTGAGCGTGTCACGTCAAAGTACAACGGTACTTGTCTCAAGCATGCAACTCGGCAGTGAGGGCTGATGTCAAGGAATATTTTTGCTGGCTAGTTTGATGGAATCCCTGCATTTTGCTGCGAGCGGTCCAGCACAACCAAGGCTTCGGCTGGCACAAGCGAATGTGTTTTCGTCTGCAAACTCGACTCACATCACAGACGTCATTCTTGGCGCTTTCCCACACTTCATGTCACGGAATGCCTTGAAGTAAGCCGAAGCAATTGCCGTGACACGGCGACCTGTCCAACACGCCACAGATCTTGCGAGAACTCGGTGCCACGCTGAGGCTTTTGTGCAAGGAGGCGGGCTCTGCGAACGTCCGCGCAGCTTGCGCTCTGCGAATGAGCGCAAGCTTCCGGAGGCCAACAGCGAGCCTGACCAGAGAGCATCCTGGCTCAACAGGGTCAAAGGTAAAGCTAGGAAGCGCCTGTGCAAGGACGACGCATCTGTGGGTTCTGACGAAGATGCGATAGAGGTCGCAACCACGTCATTGCCTTTGACTTTAGCCGAAGCAAGTGCTGCGGAGCTGAAGCGCGCGAACGCTGACGGGCGCCGTGAGGCTTGGAGTTGACACTGGAGCTGCCGAAGAGCGGCTGGCTTCGGTGCGGCGAATGCTGAGCGCTGACTCCTCAATGGATTTTCTCATTTGGATGGCATACCACGTATGATATGCACAGTGTGCATTGAAGAAACACCTGTGCCATGTTTGTTCCGTATCTTACATGCGGACAGCGAGGTGCGCGTGATCTGGGGGCCAGCAGTGCGGTTTTGCCTGCTGCCACTCCGAGTGAGTGCTGCATGCGTGGTTGGCAACTCCAGGCAGGGGGGTGGGTGCACTTCACTTCAGACCTGCCAGGTTTCAGGGCACTTGTCCACCAGGCTCGCTATCCGTGCGAGCGACGACGGCGGCAAATACGGAAAGGCATCTGCATTGTCAAACAGGTGGCTGCTCGCTTTCAAGTCAAGTCTGCGCGAAAGACTTAGTTGGATACGGTTGCAGTAAGCCCAGTGTCTTTTTTGTATCCCCGCATGCTGGCATAAGAGGACCAGCATGCAACAAGTTCATGAGATTACTTTGGCATAGCACAGCGATGTTATTCGAGCAATGTATGGATTGTCCACCATCCCGGGGATGCAGCTGAGGTCAACTTTGCAGCTTTGTTGGAGAGAGGTGCGCCACACAGCAGATGGCAATGAATGTCCATGGATGCTGAAACGTGGTTGGTGGACATGAATCTCCATGTCAACGATGTCCACCCAAGAGTCCCAAACCAAAATTCTCACCCAGATCACACGCGCGCACCAGCGTCGGTGTTTCTCTTAGGCAGACATGGCATTCCCCCTGGACAGCGAGGTGGCCGGCTCCTCACAGAAAGTTGTGCTTCGTGTTAGCTTGACGCATTTGATATGGTCGAGCTGGGAAATGAGAACGAGCCACCCCCTCCAAGGGACAAAAGTAGCAAAGCCATAGCAGAGTTCGCCCAAAGATTTTGGGGACAGCGATGTCTATCATGCAGTTGGATCCCCGTTGAATGCTGAGCGTGTGGATCTAAGCGAAAAAGGGAGAAGAGCATAGCACGAAAGCCGGGCAATGCTCATGTGGATCCAAGCGAAAAAGGACAGAAATGGCACAGGACTCTGCAGAGTTCGGACCGGGCGAGGCTTGGGAGGAGTGCCTGCAGCGGCGGGGGCTTGCGGAGCGGCCCGGGCGTGTGGAGCTTCAGGCGCAGCGAGATGCCCCGAATCCGGTCATGGGACCGGGGGCCAGGGGAGGGGGACGTGTCGAAAGGGCTTTTATGGGAGAAAAGGTTAATCGGTTAATTTAAAAGGAGATGGGTTTTCCTCCAACAAGAAGGGCTTTTATGGAGATGGGCGTGAAGAGATGGTTTGATGGGTTGGACCGCTCATGAGGGGAAACTCCCTTTCCCCTTGCCAATCAACGCCAGCAGCGCTGCCCTCAAAAGGACACATCCGGTTCAAGTCTTTGGGTCTAGAGGTGCAGGCCGGCAAGGGTCACTTTTGGTGAATGCGGGGGTGCGGACGGAGCCAGGTGCTGAACCCCGGCCCTCCGCGAAGGCTGCGGCATCCCCCCCGAGGGAAAAACGGCGGATGCGGCTGCGTCAGGTGCCGCAGGCCTCGGAAGTCACCGGAGCCCGAGAAGAATGGCGCACCCGGGACCGGACATGGGCCGAGGTTGGCTGTGCCGCCTTCGTATCGTTTGGGATGAAATGTAGAGGCTTTGGGCGGTAGGTAGTCACGAATCTTGGGACTTGCTCCCCTTGGTTTGTGCAACTGTTGTTACCATCTTAGAAGCAACACCTCGTTTGGCCGCACTTCGCTGTGCACAGGAGCATGCAGCCGAGCCCTAGTGCGGCACTTGGCGCCCCACGCCACGTTTGTGTCGAAGCGCCAGTGGCACCTTGTGAGGCAACGCAGCTTTCTTGGTGACCGGCACGCAGGTGGGGCCAGCTGAGCCATCAGTTGGAGATGAAGTTTGATGAAGACTCTCCAGCTTGAAACTGAAAGCGAAAACCACCCCACCATTGTTGAGGGTGTTCCCCATTCAAGTTCAGCTCCATTTGGCAGGGGCTTTGACGGCAATGACCTACGGCCATGAACGGACTTGAGTTCTCCAAATGGTGTACCGCCTCTGGGTTGGATTTTTAAGGGAGGCCAACAGACCAACAGTAAGACAATCACTTTAGAGGACCATATTGAGAACTCCCACCCCCCAATTGAGCAAACCTCACGGCCCGACAGGCCTTGCCTGTGCCCAGTGACCTGCCCACTCCTCATATCTGGTGTGGGGCGGCGAAGCAAATCTGGCCAGCAAGCTTGTTCATTTAACATGGAACTCACTCAATTTCCCTCGATAACAAGGGGGCTGGCCCTAATCTATCCCATGTCCACTTGGGGAAAGCATAACATGAATGTATTTCCCATTTCCTCGTGCGGAAAAAATCGTGCCTCACATGTTTTGTACCTGGCTGTGGGTCAAAATTAGGTACCCAAAATGGAACCCTGGCAAATAGAACCAAGGACTAAAACCTGCGGTCCCCTAGTGGTTGAATATTGACCCATACCCACCTCACCCCGTTTGGATTGGTTGGGCAACACGCCACGTTGGCTTGAGGTGCGAAGATTTCCGCTCCGTGCAAGCTCGAGGCAAGGCTGCATCGGGCCACAAGCCAAGATTGAATCGAGATGTTTTATCATTCGTGTGGCTGTCCCCTGGATAAGTTGCTTTCCTGGGTAAACAAGATCAAGTTTGCTTTTGTAGTAGTAGCTATGCAGTTTTAACTGGGTGTGAATGTTGAAAGGGGACACAATTCACCAAACATATCATGCCAGCGGAGCTGGCGAAGTCGGTGCACAGAAGTTTCAAAGATATCAGACTATATGTTGCTTTCTCTTCCTTTGTTTGTTTTGTCTTATTGCTGTTTTTCTTCGTTCACTGTTTCCTTTCTTTCTTTCTCTCTTTGATTCTTCCTTTCTTTTTGTCTATCATTGTTTCTCTCTTTCTTGCATTGTTTCTTTTCTTACTTCTTTGTCCATTTTTGATTGTTTCTTCATTTCTTTCTGGCATTTTGTCTTTTCTTTCTTTTCTTTCTTTGTTTCTTTCTCTCTTTTTCTTATTTCTTTCCATGTCTCTAGCTATTTGCCTTCTATCTGAATACACATATCTCTATCTATCTATTTATCTCTCTACCTATCTACCTACCTATATCCAACGATCTATCGACCTGTGTCATCTATCTATCCATCTACCTACTTATCTAATCCATCTATCTATCCATCCATCTATCTATCTATTTACTTATTGACTCTATCTGTCTGTTTATCGACTCTATCTATCTACTCTCTCTCTCTCTGTTCTATTTCTCTATCTATCCATCTATTTGTGTATTAGTCTGTTTATCTATCTGTCTACCTGACCTCGCGACCATGCTGCAACTGCCACGAAATCTGTACCCGACCTTGCGAAGGAAGGTCTGCGCCTGCCACGACATCTGCACCTGAGCTTGCGAAAGTGCTGCACCTGACCACGGAATCTGCACACCACCTTGCAAAAGTGCTGCGCCTGACATGAAATCATTACCTGACCTTGCGCAAACCAATTCTGCCACACGCACACGCATGCATATTCGAGAGCTAGCTTTCAATTAGTTGCTGTGCCATGGAAGCTCCTTCTAAGCTTCGTGTGGTCAATAGAAACAACACATGTAGCGCTTCCCTTGTGCAGGCCGGGGCGGTCGCAGACGGCGCGGCGTGGCCCAGGGACGAGCCTGGGCCATGGCCACTGGCAGGCGGATGTTTCCGACCTTGGCGCTTGTGTGGATGCAGGGAAGCCCAAAGACACCCGTTCATTTTTGGGAGGCCGCTTTTCTGAGAAACACGTGTATGTAAATTTGTATGAGTATATATGTATATGCAAATGTAACCAATGAGGCTTTGAGCGCGGGCGGGTGTGCGTGCGCGTGTGCATGGAGTTCCAGAACAACCTTGGCGCCATTGACATGTCCACCCCTCTTGGAGAATTAAACTTGAACCATCCTGGAGCACGGACGTGAATTCGCTTTGCAGGGCGTTGCGCTTCACTGGGACTGCGTAGAACGAAGCTACCGGTGAAGGGTCGCTGCTTACAAAAGGTTGTGATGTTTTCCGTGTTTGAGCTGTTGGTGACTCGTTGAGCTGTTGGAGAAAAAAATCAATGGGGGAGGAGCCAACGAGGCCAAGGAATTTGCAGAGACATTTGAACTGAGAGGGTGCTGTTGATGTCTGTCCATTTTTGAGTTGGTGCCCTTGGCGCCTGGGGCGAAAAAGACACCAAGTGGAAACCACCCGTTTTGGAATTCCCCATTTTGAGCACGTATCCAGATTGTCGCATGAGCCATGACATTGGCAATGAGAGCGTGGTTGAACTGCCACATGGACACCCCAATCAAGGTACACACCATGCAACCTGCGCGGCCCATGTCCGTTCTTTCGGCATGCACAAAGAGCCAAGCAGATGGAGTCTCTTTGGCCAGGGAGCAACCCGTGCACTGGGCGCCTCAGCAGGCCTTTTTTCGGCAGTCGACTGCTTCCGCCGCATCTGAATCTTTCCAGGCACCCCATGCTTCGGAGCGTCCAGGCCAATGGGCATGTGATGTTTTTCTTTTTCTCATTTTGGCTGCGTGACTGACCTTTTGACCTCAGGAGAAGTCGCGCTTTGCCTCGAGGGCTCAGCAATGCGAACAATGTCATTTGGGCCCAAAGCCGGCGAAAAGACCGATTCGGGGATTCGCAAACTTGCGGCATGCTGGTTTCCACGGCAACTTAACAAATGGAGGGAGGGTAGATGTTGTATGCTACAATGGAAAAGTTCCAAAAAACACCAATCCCGAGCATCCAGGAAGCCTTTGTCTCAAGCTGGGTATTCTCATCATGCTGTATTTTTCGGCTGGCAGTCCAGTCTGACTCGTGGGCTTGCATGGCCCGGCCACTGCTGATTCGAGCAGCTCTGGCGACGCAGTTTGCCAGTTTGCTTGCTATTGGTGCCAAAATACACAGATCTTTCTCCAAAAGCGCTGGCTTCGGTGAGTACTTTCAATCGAGCGCTGGGTTTCATTCTCGAAACTGTTCATTCGCACCTTCGGGCCATCGCTTGTTTCCAAGGCTTCCCCAATCCACCCTGCTTCAACAAGTTGCGTAGCTGAGAATCTAAAATTCAGCCGAAACCAAAGACGTGGCCGATTGTTAAGGAGCTCATCTTTACGATGCAAAAGTGGCGAAGAGGAATATGCGTTGCATGTATCGGCTCAACCAGCTTTCGATACAAAGCCTGCAACCACACGCGCGAAATGCTAACTTGCACTGAACATGTGCCGCCTTGCCGCTGCAGCTTGTTGGTGAACATGCTTCTGTACGACTTCTTGTTTTGGACGCTGACCAGCTTAGCTACGACACATCTGCTGTTTTGGATTGCACTGAGCCTAGCAGATCTAGCCAAAGTCCTGCAATGCTTTGTCCAGGAGCGCAACATTGGCAGTTCGGGCATTGCATCCAGCCCTTGTCAGGAAGTAAAATCCTGGTCAGCGTTGCGCTGTCCGGCGCTGAGCCCCTTTTTCAGAGTTGTTCCTTCTTCTTTGTCTTTGCTCCTTTTTGAGTTTCTCATTTTTGTTTTCTTTTGTATTGCATGTCATTCCCTGCGAATCGTGTCATGCCGAGGCTGTCCCTCCGCTCGGCAGTTGCAGCTCTCGACGACAGCCAGGCGCACCGATGGCATCGAAACCGTCGCGAACACGATCGGCAGATACGGCAGGTTTGGACCAGCCCTGATGCCAAAAAGGCGAGCCAGGCGCAGTTCGCAGAGGGCTTCGGCTTGCGACATGCGCATTTCAACCGCAGCAGTTTGCAGAACGTGCGGGTTGGCATTGTCTCATTGGCCCTTTTGCCTGGCCAAGTCAAGACTGTTTGCTTGTGCCCTAGTGAGCTCCTGGCTGGGCGCCGATGGGTCAACCCTTCCGACTTGGTTCGAATAAATGCCGCGACAATGCTAATCGCAAAACAGGAGCCATTAGCACAAGCCGCGTGGTCAGTTTTGACCATGGCAAAGCTCAGCTAGGCTGTCAAAGTGCGTCCAAATAAGTCGCGAGATTGAGATCTGATCCGCTTGAGCTTTTGGAATTCGGTAAACTGCATGATGGGGACTGTTTGACGGGTGCGTAGCAGCGCACGAACAGATATCAAGCTCTTGTGAATCGGCATGGAGGGATCAGTCTGAACGCCCGCCTTGATGACTGCAGGGCACTCCGTGGGATGGTCCAGCTTTGGATGCTTCGCAGGCAAGAGCGGTGGGCTTGCGACTTTGAACAGCAACACAAAGCGAGTTCAACCCTTTTGAGGGGTCCATGATCTGACACATTGCTGCGTGAATGCAAGGCATCCTCTGCACAAGTCTTCGATTTTGCTTCCGACAAGGAGATGGAGGTGGGACTGTCGCACAATGTTTGAGATGCTCTCAGATCGTCGCCGAAGGAGCAAGTTGAAAACACTCAGAACATTTGCATCTCGATGATGCTGCTGGGCTGTGTCAGAATCTGAGCAATGTTGTAAGTGGGGAGAGACTTCTGAGAGCAGACTAGAACAGCTCCAAACACGTTGTCTCGGTCACGTGATAACGTCTGAGATGGGCTTCATGATGTCCAACTTCTACCTTGTGAATTGGCCTGACGAAGACATCAAGCGAATCTCCTGGGAGGCTTGGTCACTTCCTCCCTCCCTCCCTCCCCTCCCCTCCCCTCCCCTCCCCTCCCCCCCTCCCCTCCCCCCCTCCCCTCCCCTGCCCCCTCCCCTGCCCTGCCCTGCCCTGCCCCCCTCCCCTCCCCTCCCCTGCCCTCCCCTCCCCCTCCCCTGCCCTGCCCTCCCCCCCTCCCCTCCCCTCCCCTCCCCTCCCCTCCCCTCCCCTCCCCTCCCCTCCCCTCCCCTCCCCTCCCCTCCCCCTCCCCTCCCCTCCCCTCCCCTCCCTCCCCTCCCTCCCTCCCTCCCTTTGACCCTTACATATGAACACTCCCGAGTTGCACTCAACCCCAGGTCATCAGCTCCACAGTGTCCATCTTCTCGGCCGTGCTGCTCTTTCAGGCCGCCAAAGTCACCCGAGCGAAAGGGCGCCTTGGCGCCGTTTGTCAGGCCTGTAACAAGGTCGTGGAGTACTACATCCTGGACGGCATGTGGATATGGTACCAGCTTGTGGTGGATATGGTTCCTTGGCCTTGGGGCCCAAGTGAAGCCCGACAATCTGCTTGGCATTTGGGGAGCCCCCAAAACCATGCGCGTTGTGGCAGCAACCGCTCAAGGTGCACATGTTGCTGTGGTTCTGCGCCCTTCAACTGGTATTGGCTTACCTGTCGGGCGCAATGGGCACTCATGCAGACGTAGCCCGCCTGAGAATATGTGCCCATGACCAAGCAGACAGCACTGGAGAGCGCACCTTTCTTTGCAGGTTGAAAAGAAGAGGAGATCCTCGTTCAAGCCAGGGGCTGGGACAGCCGGTTGATTGTACTTGAAGCAAGCCAGTACGGACGCTGGCAGCTGCAACACTTCTTGACTGTTTGTGCATTGAGGCTGCTCGAGGGGCCCCTGACTCCAAGAGCAAAATTGGAACGCCAGAAGTCAGAGATAGCTCATATGAAGGCGGCCTGCACTTGTCGCATGGTTACAGCCCCTGACAACAATCAGGCAGTCAAGATCAACACCGTCTGCTGGTCAACGCTGCTGGGCCACGTCACAGGCTTTGCAGCCATCAATGCCTGGGGCACCCTGCAACAGGCAAGGCACCCTCGTGAGGTGAGGGTTTGTCTCAAAATCGAGGCCATCCAGCCCGGTTGGTTCCGTGTATCCCTCTAAAGCAACCCCGAAAAATGGCGCCAACTTGAAAAAGGACACACCTGTGAATTGATGGCTTGGCCTGGCGAGAGGCAGTTCCTCGCAACCTGATTTGGTGCTCTGCTGTGCCCGCACTGGCGGTGGGTGGCATCTACTGCGCCCTTGGCATGTTTTTTTCCTCTGGGGCATTGACAGTTGCGTCTATGGTTGCGGGAAACAGGGTTTTTAGGGTCACGTGCTGTGATCGCGGAAAGTGGCGCAGTCAAAGTTCTCCAGAGCCATGCTTGTGTTTGCCAGGCATCTACCAAGGCACGGATTACCTCCGCAAGACCAAAACCATGGCAGATGGTGACGAGGCTCTCCGTGCACAAACTTGCTGCAGAGAATTCCTTGTTGCCACTACCCCCAAACATTACCCCCAAGGGGAACGTGGATATTGTAAACGCTTCGCGCTGCCCCCTCCAGTATCAGCCGGATTCTCTTGGTTGGCTCTGAAGTACGTTGTGTGGTTTTCCTGACGTGCTGTGTTTGGTGAGTGAGTAAGTGAGTTGGTGCTGAAATGCGTGAGCTTTCCAAGATGTCTGGTGGGTGCATGTTCACTCGTTTCCCCACTAAAGCCGCGGTCCAAGGGCAAGGAGCCGGGATAGGGGGCGGGCTGGGGCTAGGTGAAAAGAGTGGTCGCCAAAAAACCGGCGAATAAATACATTGACATCACTCCTTTTCTGTGTATATATATACATATTGGATGTGCAGTGGTTGTATCCCCCCTGCTCAGGATGAATTTGAGGCGCTCTGGGGGGAAGAAGTCGCAGAAACTGAAGACGACGTCTTGTCGCTGGCCGTGTCCTTCTTGGTGGTGCAGGCTGACAAAACCTCAGGCGGCTGCAGTTTTCCTCTGCATGTTGCCAGGTTCTGCGCTTTCTGATTACCGGCAACCTTCCCAACACCGAGGTCCGGCTTGAACCCAAGTCAAAGTGCCTCCACTCTTTCTCCCATCTTTGCAGGGAGAGGATCCGGAGGGTATGACGCATTCCACCCTGTCCTGTGCTGGGTACCTAGCTGCCCTCCCGCTGCAGTTTCACATGCCATTGGGAGAAGCCACCGCAGTTCAGCAATCAGGAACAGGTACGTGTACGCGCGATACATGTAACTTCATATATATAGACATGAAATGTACGTATAATAATAATAATAATAATAATAATAATAATAATAATAATAATAATAATAATAATAATAATAATAATAATAATAATAATAATAATAATAATAATAATAATAATAATAATAATAATATATATATATATATATATATATATATATATATATATATATATACATATATGTGATATATACATATATGTGATATATACATATATGTGATATATACATATATGTGATATATACATATATGTGATATATACATATATGTGATATATACATATGTATATATATATACATATACATATACATATATATATATATATATATATTATCAGTGTATGTACGTATGTGCTTTGAGCTTGCAGGCTTAGGTGTGCACACATCATTTCAAAGTTTGTTGGAAGGATGCCGTTATGGAATGCTAGTGGCTTGATCCAAGCCAGGCTAGTGCGCAGTTCTGCTTGATTTCTTCCCAGCAAGCGACCCCTGCCACAACTCTGTTGGGGCGTTGTGGCCATGTGTACTGGGCCGGCTGGCTGGATGGACTTCAGGCACCCGGGCCGTGCGCCGGGTCACACCGGGTCGCCTCAACAGAGTCAGGGCAGATAGCGCGGACGAGAAAATGGCGCAAGCGGCCAGGCTGACTGGAGCCTGGTCAGCGATAGCCTTGCACCGCCGCCCGCGCATTTGCATCTCTTCGCGTCAGAAGTCTGGAAGGTCTGCGCCCTGCAGCGTCTATGATGGCGCGTGGGGGGTGGGGGTGGGGGGAGGAGCAATGCCAATGCTTCCATAGCAGTGTCCAGGAATTGATTGCCGTCGCGCTGATGCTCCAAACAAAAGCCCATGGCTGCTGTTCGGATAAGTGGTTGGCCTTGTGCATCCGGCGCGTCCGGCAGCGCTCAATTATCCCGCACATCTCTTGCAGCAAGCGCTGAGCAATGCCTTCCAGAGGCTCCTCCCCGAGTGGTTCTGGGCAGTTTGCTCCGGGGTGAAGGTTTGTTGTACCAGGCGCTCCTGGCAGCCTGTGTGCCAGGAGCCCGCGACTTGTCGCCAAGTCTGAGGCTGCGGCAAAGTTCTGGCGATCACTCGGCCTTGGGCCGACGTGGAGGCTATGACCCCCGTTCTGTATGGAGTGCGAGTTTTCCACTGTGATGTTTTGCTATTTCAGCCCCGGAGTTTGTGCATGAGTCTCAATGAGTGTTTTGCTTCCGGCGATCCGGGTGTCTTGGAAGTGTCCTGGGATTTTGGGGCGCGTTGGGGCACTCTGGGATCACTAGCCGCAATTCGGACGGGTGTGACATCGGTTTTGCGCCGGCAGAATTGGCGTAGCGAGAAGGACAAAGGGTTCAACACGCAACAGAAACGCGTTAATAGGTATTCAGCTTGGCGGGCTTGGGGGTTTCCGCGCGGAAGGCTCTCTTGGAGTTCAATTGGCTTGATCGGACGTTCGGCGCCCTTGTGCGCTTGAAGGCTTCGCGCCCGCGCATGCGCCCAGGGTCGGGAGCACGCGACGGCTCTGTGAAATCATAAATTTTGCGCTGGCAGCGCGACAGATTCAACGCAAAAGTGAAACTCGTGTGATGGAAAATAATACAACAATCTAGATGTTGTCCCTTCCACGTGGTATTTGGCAGCTGCTGTCAGCATCCCTGTTGCACGGGCCATACCGGTTCCTATTTAAAGTTTACCACTTGCTCAAGTGTTGCTTCGGGGATGCGTTTGCGTAAGTGTCAGCTTCTGAGGAGCTGCTTCTTCTGGCTGGACTTGTCTTCGGATGCTTCGATACTGCGAGGATTGTTCTGCGTTTGGCACTCAGCTAGATCTCCAGCCACCCTCACCCATCCTGCCAATGGCAGCGAATTGAGGAAAGTTCCTGAGCGGCAAAGACCAGAAAGAGCCCGAAGCCGTCCTCACCACTCACTCCACTCACTCCTTTGAGCTGGACGAGGAGCGGAGCTTGACGCTTTGGAGCGTCCAGACAGATTCAGCACCTGCCAGAATCACCGCGCTGCAGCTTGGTTCAGGGACATTGCGGCAATGTGCACGGCAACCCCGGCCAGTTTGTGGCGCCGGAATGTTTCTTTTTGCTTGTGCTGGACAGGCCTGGTGCTTGCACTTCAGTGTGGACTGGTGGCTGTCCTCGAACCTGATGGGGGACCGCCAGGGTTGGGCTTCAGATTTCCTCAATCAATTTCACTTCAATAGCAATCCGTGTATTTTCAGCTTCGCATGCTTCGCTTCATCTCCGTGCACTTGACACTTTTTCATGCATTTCAGCTTCTCATGCTTCGCTTCATCTCCGTGCAATTGACACTTGTTCATACATCTTCTTGGCAATGTGTGTTCTTCCTGGCTTGTTTTCCCCAAACACGTGTGAAGCAATGCAAACTACTCGTAAGAACAGGCTGACAACATATGATTACACGATGATCATGATACATGCTGGGGCTCTAGCCTCACTTTCACATTGTACTGACTTAAATGCCCTTGCATCGTAGACTCACACATGTGCTCTAGGGCGTTCTTTGTTGGTAACTGCGGCGGCTTTGAGGGAGGTTGGCAAACAACATCCTTCTCAGTGAGTCGATGTGCTGAGCACATGTGACCTTAGCACATACCTGATGGAAATGCAATTTCTTGCGGGCATGATGCATCGACCCCTGTACACATCGGCATTTCGACGTGCACGAGCAAGCATGATGGATACTCAGTTCTGGACTTTTTGCGTGTGATCCCCTACTATCTATCGAGAAGGTCAATCAACCCGCAACAAGAGTTTGTGCTTGATGCACACTTCCGCAACTCCGGCCCAAAGCACTATCCAAAAGTATGAACTTAGTGTGTTTTCATAGGTAGCAGGGTGCACGGCACTATTCAGAGCACGAGTTTGTGCAGATCAAGTACGCAAGCTGCAAGACTTGCGCGGATCAACAAGCCAGATCTGATCAACGCGCGAACAAGTTATATATAGGTCACGCCACACTAACGCAACTAATAGTGATCATAATATACCTGAGCGCACGGCGACAGGACGGCAAGCAGACAACGATGCGTACGGATCAAACGCACAGAGCACAGGATACCAAGAATGGCATTCACAAAAGATGCATTCACTTCTGATGCAAAAGGAACACTAGAGTACAACCAACATCAGCAGCATAATACATATCGCAGAACACGTGGACAAAGACACGCTTCGCAGAGAAACTCAAACAGAGCAACTTACGCAAATCAAGCCAACCAACGACAAGAGACAGAACAACGTACAAGGCACAATCTGCGGCAACAGATCGCGTAGTAAACAAATAGCATACAAGTTCATATCTACATACATATAATATAGTATCTACATATGTGCGCAAGCACAGACACAGACACACAGACGCAGCCACCAGCGCACGCACGCGCACATGCAACCGCGCCCGCAACCGAACCCCCCACACCCCCACCCCCCACCCCGACACCCCCCACCCCGACACCCCCCACCCCGACACCCCCCACCCCGACACCCCCACCACATGACAGCTTGCAGCAATCTACGCTGAAGATGCATACCCAATCAAGCGCTTCAGCACATGGCGACTCGTTTTTTTGGCGACTCGTAGGAGGGAGCTGTATTGTCCGTGATCTGTGCCGTGGCCAAGTGCTTAACTGTTGGCTTGCCTTTTTGCCTGCTGGCAGCTTCAACAAGGCGGTGACAGGCCTCGCCTTGGGCTTGATTTTTGCCTCAAGCTCAGAGCGGGGTTGGTGTATTTCAGCATGTTTTTTGTCGGGTCGTTTTCCTTTATCGGAGGTCCTTGACAAGCTCGCTGACATGGATTTCACCGATGATGAGGTGGATTGCTCCCTGCCGCAGCCTCGCACCACTCAAAGGCTTTGCAGTTCATCAGAAAACTCAGGCGTGCCCTGATCACATCCCTGGGTATCTTAATCGGCTTCTCTTGGGAAAGAAGCTTTGATGCAGCAGTAGGAGGTGCGCAAATGCAGCCTCCCTCGGCGGACAAGAGAGCGCCTCGCAACCTGCAGGTCTTGCAGAGAACCGAGTGTTCGGGCTCCCCCCACCGATTCTGACGCTGATTCTGGCAATCATTTTGGCAAGCATGGCCGCTAGCCTATGCCTTGAAGCATGAGACTCACTGCATGCCGAAATAAAATGTTGTGGACTCTACAAGGTAATGCCTGCATGGAAGTGGTACATCCTTCCGGTGGTAGAGGCCAACAAGGACCCAGCAATGCCGAACTGATGATACGGATGGCTTACTACCTGTGTGGTCAAGCTGCATTGCAAATACTCGCGCGTCCATTTGTGTGAGTCTAAGAGCACATTCTGACAACATCTCAACATACTCGATGCTTGACTGTCAAGCAGCAGCGGAAGTGGCTGGAATGTTTTTGCCATGCATGTGCAAAGCTAGCCACCGGTTGTGCCTTCATTTGTTCAGACAGATGTGTTGCCAGCCAGTTCATCTTGTGTGCTAGTTTGACGGAGTGAGGTAGATAGCAAGAATGCCAGTGTATACAAAGCCACAAATCATTCATGTTAGTTGACATGTGTTTCCAGGAGGAGAGCCACAACCGGGGCGACCATCATGCAGCTTCCGTACGCAGCCAGGATTGTCATGAGCCGAAAGCGTTGCCGTGCGTGCGAGTCCTTGAGGTAGCGGATCTCTTGAAGCTCGCCCACTCTCATCAGGATGAGGCCTGTTCAACACAGTCTATTTGCGATTTGGCATCGGAACGCTTGTGCTAGCGGCGGCAACAATTTGCTAGATGTTGGCAGTAGGGACATTTCTCAAACAATCTAAACACTCGCCAGGAAAATGTGTCTACAACAAATTTGTGCTCGGCCCAGAAATCGAGCAATCTGCGTCAGCGGTTTGGGTTTCCTTCGCCTGGTCTTAGGAACGAGCCATTGCTGAAAGGGCATCAGCCCGAGGGCGAACAGGACGCCGACCATTCCCATGCCAGGCGCTGCGAAGTGAAGCGAAGTGGTTGAGTTTTGGGGCACTGTCAGGTCTCAAGAGGCCATGGAGGTGCGGAGAGTGGGAAGAGTGCTGTGAATTCTCAGAATGCCAACGAGTTCTTGTCACAGATTGTGACTGGGAGCCCGCCCTTTCCGGGCGCCAATTCCTTTGTGCTTTTTCGACCGAGTCCTGTGAGGCGTCTTTGTTTTGCTTTGACTCGGATGGAGCCCAGGGGAAGCCGCCGCAGGCGGTGACCCGGCGCTTGGCCGAGCTGGAGGTGCAGAACGCGGAGAAGGACCGGAGCCTGGCAGAGGCCGTCCGCCGCGCCGGGTGTGCGCCCGATGTTTTTGTCTTCTTCTCTTTTTGTCGTGCTTCCGACGTGCTTCGATGGCATTGAAATTAAATGGGGGCCCACAATTTGGTCACAAGGCAAATCAACATGGAGGTCAGAAAAGGATGGGAAGGCCCCCTCGGTTGGTCAGCTCATGGGTGCTTTCTCAGGCCCAGCGGAACCTTGCGGAGCTGGAGATACTCCGCACAAAGCAAGGAATGGATCTGAGATGGGCTCAAGAATAAGTGGACTTGTTTTTTTTTGGGGGGTTCCCTTTAAACCCACCAATGGGTCTGGCAACCGAGAGATGGTCTGGGGGTTCAGTCCGGAGGAGCCACACATGCCCAGAGCCCAGCATTCGGGTGTGCACGGAGTGTCTCGAAAGGTTCTTCTGCTCGCCCGGAAAGGAAGCGGAAAACTTTGTTGTGATAGATCGGAACCCTGAAAATGGGACAACAAAGTTTTGACAAGCAAAGTGTTTGTCCTTGAGATCTGTAGAAAACTTTGTTGTGAACACTTGTTTGTGGTTTCCCTTTGAAGCAAACACACCTTTGTCTCAGGCTGAGGTCGCTGACAAGTTCCGGGCCCAGCTGCAGGACAAGTCTCTTGCTCCTTGCGCTTTTCTCGCTGCATTGAGGTAGTCTTGTGAGGTTCAAGGGAAAGCAATCGCCAGGTTTGGTGCCCTTTTCATGTTTGCAGCCACCAAAGGTTCTTGGGACTTCAGATACCATGAGGTTCAGTCTTAAAGTTTGTGAGCCTGTGGTCCATTTGGGAGCCGGGGCATGGGGGAGGGTGAAATTTCTCAAAGCCAAGGGACGAACTCCCAACGATGTCCTCTTGGGGGGAAAAGTCATTTTGACCACGCACATGGATTTGAGATGCTCATGGCTTCCAGACCAATCAACCCAGTGGACCGTCAGATTGCTACCCCAAGAAACCCTTCTCAAACTGGTAAACCCCCTTTTGGGTTGGTTAAAGGGAAACCCAACGAAAGAGCCTCAATGTGGAGGGGGGGCCTCTTTTGAGAACCCCCAGCGGACAAATAAGGTCTTAAGATAGAGGACCAACAAAAATGATGGGCGTTTTTTGTGGTTTCCCTTTCGAACCACCCCGAAAGGGTACCGCAGAAAAAAAACCAATAAACCCAATAGCTTTGATGGTACGACCCCTCAGACTCGGCAGGAGAGGGACAGACAGCTGCAGGAGCATGTTGTCAAGGCGAAAGTTGCCGAGGCCCGTGGCTGCTGTCCCCTTTGGATGTGTCCTTTTTTGAGGGCACCCTTGGGGTGGTTTAAAGAAGCCGAAAGGACAACCACCATTTGGGGGGTCCCTGTATTTTGACATACTGGTTCAGAGAGTTTCAATGACGGTTTCCAAGCTGGCGGTTTCCAAGCTGGCTCAAAGCAGACCATGCAAAGTGGCTCGTACACATCTTGATGTTTGTTGGTTTTCAGTTAAGAGTTGTCAATGTGCGCTTGGCTTGCTTGGAATGTGTCTGTCCGAGTTGCAAGATTTGCAGCGCCATGAGCTGTTTGTATGTTGTTCTGGTTCTTCTGGGATTGGTTGCTGGCCGAGTGTCGCCGACCGTAGCGGTGGGTGTGATCCCGGTAGTGAGCAGGAATGTTCAGAAGGAGCTTGGAGCAAAAACGGCCACTTCCCTTTTGCAGCTGCTGTTGACAGGTCATACTTTAGAGTTTTGGGCTCGGTCCGCCGACATTGTCCTCTCCCTTTTCTCCCTCTTGTCTCCTCCCCCGTGTGTTCTGTCGTCCTCTCTCCCTCCCTCTGCTCCCCATCCTCCCCATCCCCCCAAGCCTCTCTCTCCTCAATCTCCCTCTCCCTCTCTCTGTCTCTCTCTCTCTCTCTCTCTCTCTCTGTCTCTCTCTCTCTCTCTCTCTTTCTCTCTCTCTCTCTCTCTGCTTCTCTGTCTCTTTCTGTCTCCCTGTCTCCTTCCTGTCCACGCCCCTCTACAGAAAAAGGGTACCCTTATTCTAATCTCTCTACTGGAGGACTTAGTCTCTCTCTCTCTCTCTCTTTCTCGCTCTTTCTCTGTGTCTCTCTCTCTCTCTCTGTCTTTCTGTGTCTCTCTCTCTCTGTCTCTCGCTCTCTCTGTCTCTGTCTCTTTTTTCTGTCTTTTTCTGTGACTCTGGCTCTGTCTCTGTCTGTCTCTCTCTCTCTCTCTCTTTCTCGCTCTCTGTGTCTCTCTCTCTCTCTCTCTCTCCCGCTCTCTCTCTCTCTCTCTCTCTCTCTCTCTCTCTCTCTCTCTCTCTCTCTCTTTGCATTGCAGCGTCACGTCCCCCCCGAGTTGCCTCGATGTCCGGGCACTGCCCCTCATGACCCTGAACTGTTTGCTTACTACTTGCTTTCCCCTTGACTTCCCCTTCATGTCCTTTTCACGTTTCCCATGATGTCCTGGTCATGTCCCTTCCATTCCTTTCAACTCCCCCTCATGTCCCTGTCATTTTTTCGGTATGTCCGCTTCATTTTCCATGTATGTCCCGTCCCGTCGTGCCGATGGGTTTCCTTGTCCTTTGTTTCCCTTTCATTCCCCCTGCACTCCCCCTGTTTTCATTTCTGTCCCTTTCATGTCCCTTTCAGTTCCCCTTTGTTTCCCTTTCATTTCCCCTTGCTTTCCTGCCATGTCGACTTCCTATTTCCTCCCCTCATCTCCTTGCACTTCCTTGCATTTCCCCTTTGCTCCCCAGGATTTCCCGCAAAAAACACGGTTTTTCCAACGTTTTCGCAAAGAGGACGTCAAAAACACAGAGTTTGTCCAGATTTTTGGCAAAAGGAGGCAGGACACCCAAACCAGCAAAGAGCCGGCAGGGGGATTCGAGCCTGGGACCCGTGTTTTGCGACACCGGCTCCCCGAACTACCGCACGGTACGTGGGGGAACCCCCCCCCTACTCCTTACATATCAGACGTCGGGCGGGGGGTTAGGGGGGGTGATCCTCTATCTTCTCTTAGGTGTCCGACACGCCTCCGCCATGTCGGCGGATAAGCGCCATGTTGGTGTGAGGCAAATTGATTGGACAAGACATCAGACAATGTCAAGCAAAGCACAAGCTTGCCGCTTGTCAGGATTCTGCCAAAGGACTATCAGCTGAATTGGAGCTACTGAGAAGATCGCAAGGCCATGCCATTTTAGATGGAGATAGGATTAGCATGTTGCAAGACGCATGCCTGCCGGAACCGCGTAGAACAGGTTCACAAGGGATGGTCCCAATAGGGAGGGCTTTACCATCCCTGGTGCTTTTTGGTATCTCCGTGTTAGGGGTTTTTACATAGACTTCGCGTGGATGTTCTCATGATGTCCTGCAACGATTTGCCGAGTCGCTCCCTTGCAGGGGATCGTGGGTCGCTGGTCAACCAACTGCAGGCGCCGCTGAGGAAGCAAGTCAACGCTTGTGCACAATTCGTGATTTTGTGTGTGTGTGTGTGTGTGTGTGTCTGTGTGTTTGATTTGTTTGTTTGGATGGTCGGTCGGTTGGTCGATCAGTCGGTCGGTTGTCTGGTTGGTGGGTGGGTGGGTTGGTAGGTTGGTGGGTCGTTTGGTCGTTCGGTCGGAGGCTCGGTGGCTCGGTCGGTCAGTCCGGTCGATCCGTCGGGCGGTTGGGCGTGCGTGTGCGCCTGTGTACATGTGTACATGTGTGCATGTGTGTTCAAGTGTGTTCAACTGTGTTCAAGTGTGTTCAAGTGTGTGTGTGTGTGTGTGTGTGTGTGTGTTTGCAGGCGCCTGCATACTGCTGTCGCCACAGCGGATACATTTTTAGGCTTTGGCTGAGACTCTCGCCAACTTACTAGCCCGATATTGAACTTGCATGCGTGTCTGCTATGTGTGAATGCTGCTGCAACGCGTTGGGCAGCTGCTTTACTTGCATCTACGACATCACGCGAAGTGTGCCGGTGTGGAGTACGCTGGCATTTGTCCTTTTCCTGGTGGGTCACGGCCTTGCCATCAATGGCAGGCAGGCGACTAGCAGGGAAATGAATGCCATGGGCTTGCAGGGCCTGACGGGGTGGCTAGATGACCTGGAACTGGCATTGCTCTTTTCTTTAGCTCTTCAGCTGAAACGCAAGTGGATGCCAAGCTTTGTACCCTTCCGCTTGTCTGCTGGCTTTCTTTTCCCTCACAGGGCTTGGAGTGAAAACCGGGTGGTTCTCTCGTACCCAGGTTTTCAATGGCCTGAGTCTGCTGGCGGCGTTTTTGGCATCTGGGAAGACGCGGGAAGTGCTATTCAGCAAGGCAGACTACTGCTGTACATCATGCCTGCAGTTCATCATCGGGCGCTGTACCTTGGGCCTGGTTATGGCTGGATGCCTGGCCATCTTGCTGGTTGACGCTTGGCAACAGATGCGATGTGATATAGTGCTTAAGCCCCTATCTTCTTTTGAAATTCGACAAGACAACTCCAGCGTTTTAAGATGACCACCCTGCCCCGGACATGATACACAGAGACAAATGGAACATGACGGGAGAGCAAAATGATCAGCTTTTTCGCCAACAGGAAGTTTCTCAACATGGTTGACCCTTTGCCGGGTGTTTCCGAAACCCAAACGACCCCGAGGCCGAATTCGTGGCATTTTTTCGTTAGGATGTGCTGCTGCTTACGGCCATTGCCAGCGCCTCTTCGATGATTTTGGAGGTCCTCGGCGCGTGCTCCTTGGCGGCCGACCTCGGGCCCATCGCCAAGACGCTGCAGATTGTGACAGGGGTCCGCGTGCCGATTGCCGGCCTGCAAGAGGTTTGCAGGCCCGGCCAGAAGGTGATGCGGATGTGGCATGATGCTTCGGAAGGGAAGCCAAAAGGGCCACACATGTTTATTTTTGGGATCCAGCTGTCTTTGACACATGCCCAGATGGCTGGGTTCCACTGAATTTCAGTTTGCTTCCAAGATACTCTGGATTGACACAGAACCCCAAAGACCTTAGGGGAATGTGCCTTTGGGGGACTGAGCCTCCCTTTTGCATGTGTTAGCTTGCGGAGAATGGATGATCGCACAGCAAGGTTTGCTATTTGGTGCCTTGGAAGTTTTAGGGTGCGAAGCAGCTGTCTCGGTGGTCCATGTGTGTAGGAGTCAAAATGCGGGACCCCCACCGAAAGTGGTCTCCTGATGGTCCCAGAAGCGTACAAGCACGTACTTCAGTCAGGGGATGCTGAGCCATTTTGTGGGTCAGGGGTCATGTCAAATGGTCAAAGGACCAGTTCGTTAGGTCCTTTGCTTGTTGGTTGGGAAGGTCACCGTCTCCTTAGAGCCAGGTAGGGTTGCTTTGTAAGGGAGCCCAGGACCATGGCCCACAGAAGGACTTTTGACCTCGCACGTGGGCTCTGAAATGGCGGGCCGTCCGTGCCCGGCTGACTTCAAAAACGACGTCGCCCTGCCAGGTCCAGTCTTGGCCACGGATTTTCCGTTCTCGTCACAGGGACCATTCTGCTTGTGTGTTCGCAGATTGCCCTTATTGTGGCATTCTCGTGTCTTGGATGCAACTTTGCATGGCAGAGACACAATCAAACTGTCATAAGATGCCGGCTCAGGTCCAATTACACCAAGATCGTTCTTGAGCGCTGGCCTCGGAATTGCTCCAGAATCCAGAATTGTGGAGCTTGCTGTTTCTGCATTCATTGTCGTTTTGCCTGCCTTGGCGCTTCTCACATGCACTTGGCAAGGCCTTACTTGGAGAAGAAATCGCGGGAGAAGCTGTCGTATGGCTCCACTGAAGAACCGTGAGGGGCAGACAGGACTCAGATCTCCCGTGCTGTTCTCCCAAACTCGCGAAGCGAAATTGAAGTGCTGCGCTTCTTGACCCTGCGGCGGAGCAGCCAAAAAGCTCCGACTCGGAATTCTGTTTGAGACATTGAGGTTGTGCGGTTTAGGATGGAGTTCAGCCATTCGGGGTTTGGCTTTCTGGGTGATTTTTGGGCCGATCCATGACTCAATGATGCTCGGTTTCTGTCGGCAGGCGAACAGCGCGGAGCTCCGTGGCCAGGTGAAACAGTTGGAGGAGGAGTTGGCAAAGGCGCGCGGCCCAAGATGTGGCGACGAAGTTGATAAGGAACCACCTCAAAAGTGGTTGGCAGGCAGGAATCCCCAGCTAGATGATGTCCTGTTGAGGGCTTTCATTTAAGATTCGTGCCCATTTGGCAATGAATTTTGCTTGAGAACGCCGTGGACATCATTTACCAAAGGTTCCATTTTTCTTCCAGGGTCAGGCCGTAGAGCACAGATGGAAGACACTATGTCCAAACATTGGGTATTCCGCGTCAAATAGAATTGCTATAGAGAAGCCACCCTCTTTCCGATGGAAGCTGAGGGTATTGGAAGACAGTTTTCTTGAAAAGGCCCTGTCAGCTGCCGCAAGAGATTCCGCATTCCAAGGCCAGGGCAGCCGCAGCTGAGAAGCACGCGCTCGCCTCGCCGAAAGAGATTGTCCAACTTTGCTTTTTTGGCTCCCCAGGCATTGGCGATCCAATGGGAGCAAAGGGCCAACGAGGCGCTCGGCCCGCTCTGAGCGCCCGAAGCTCCGGAGTGAGCGGTCAAGCAGCGCAGGCTGGGCAGCGGGCAGAGCTGGACCGCACTTCGAGGATTGGCTACTGGCACTGAGCCAGCCACCAATGTTTGCCTGCCTGCCTGCCTGCCTGCCTGCCTGCTTGCCTGCTTGCCTGCTTGCCTGCTTGCCTGTTTGTGGGTTCATTCTATGTTTGTGGTGATCATCAAGTTGCATACCCGCGAAAGCCTCGAAACGATTTGCCTTGACAGGATGCAGGCACAGCAGGTCGGGCCATTTTTGTGTGTCAGCGATGCCATGAATGCGACTGCCTGTCAGTCGCCCCAAAAGGGCCTGTCGGAGGAGCTGAAGGCCAGGTCAGATGGGACCGAGTTTGGGCCTGACCTCTCTAAGTGTGTGTGTGTGTGTCTTTGTGTGTGCGAGGTTGCGTTTAACCGGAAACCAAAAAGGAAACCACCATTTCGGGGCTCCAAATCCCTACTTGACACAAAAGCAAACGGGCTGTTTTCACGCCAGTTTTTGTCTCCAAAGCAACTAGTGCCCTTTGCTAGGCGCGCACGGCCCACCTGCAACAGGAACTGGCAAAGGCCACCCAAGAGGCCCGGTTGGGTTGCTCGAAATCGGAGTCGCTTTTGGTTTCCCGCCCGTCGAACAGTGGGTCCGAAATCCACTTAAAGAAACCCGCATGTTCTTGTCACTGAAAAAACATTCGTCCACTGACAAAAGCACTCGTCTTGCCATGTCCTCTTGCTCTTGCAGATTGTGTCCAGCCTGTGAAGGAGATGTTTTAACATGCCCCACATCTCGAACTTGATCTCAACCCCTTTGAATGCTTGTCCAAACTGCTATCCCCTTGTAAGAGAGCAGGAATTTGAGAGTCACCTGGTTCAACACAGACATGCCGCTAGGTCAATCACACAGCCAACCGGCTTGGGAACTTGGAGAAGGAGAATCGCCTGCTGCGCGAGGAGGTTGGTGCAAGTTGGCATGCGAGTTCTTTCAGTTGTTACGCGCAGGTCAATCGGTTGAAGCGCGAAAGCACAACAAGACCAACGCCGCAAATTTGGAAGCGGGAACCTGCAGTCGGCAGTAGGAGAGCATCTACTTTGCTTGGCCTCAGGGGCCACGCATCGCAGCCACAATCTGGTCCAGAGAGTGCCCGGCTCGGCTCAGATTTGCCTGGGCTGATGAAAGTTGTGTAAATTCTTGTCGAAATCATACGCTTGGGGTTTGTCTTCAGACTCTCCTGAGGCCAAGGGTGGTCTTTTCGGGCGCCGGTTTGCCGATGGTCTTTTTGCCAAGGGCGGTGGTCCGTGAATGTCACCTCACCACACACTGCAGCGGCGCCACAGCGGGACCCGCTTGCCGCTTGCCGCTTGCCCCCCTTCATGGGTTTGTCTCAGGATGTTTGTCTCAGGATATTTAGACCCCCAAAACGGAGGTTGCTTTCCCTTTTGATCTTCCATTGAACATGCCTACAACAGGGCACCGATGACAGAGAGATCAAGGAAAGGCACAACCACATGCTGCCGCACTCGTTGGAGGGAAAGACGTGGCTGCTGATTGGCTCAGTTGGTAGATGGCTCATGCTGAGCAACCGGCCAAAAACACGCAGAACATGGTGAACTCGCAATGCCAGCATGCAAGTGATGGCATGTTCAACTCTACGCATCTGCATTTGTCACTCTTCCTTAGCTTCCTATTCTGAGCGGCTGAGATGCCGACTATAGAGGCAAGGATTTGGCATGTCCTCACGAGCTCTTGGCAGAAGCATCAGATGCCAGGTGATCGTGAAGAAAAATGCCGCGATGCTGGAAATGGGGGACGATGCCAAGCTTGGAGACCTCATGCAGAGGCTGAGTACCGACCAGGGCATTGAGGTGTCGAAGCAGCTTGGCTGTGAGTGTTTGCGAAGAACCCGGTAGCCGAAGGGCACTGACAGACTGAGCCATGCAGCCAAGGCAGGTTCTTCTCTATCAATGCAAAGAATTCCGCATGCCGGCTTATGAGCAAGGCTGGGACACGGACGTGGGCCTTTGGGATCTGGGAGGCAGAAGCACGCGAGCTGATTTGCTTGAGGGCAGTGGAGCAGGCAAGCAGCCAAACCGAATGGCAGATGAAACACACTTGCTCGTTCAATGTTTCCTTCAGCCTGCACAGATTGGCACGCGGCACACAGAGGGATGGTTCGCCCATCCAGTTGCATGTCCGCAGGCTCAACTCGATCCGAATCAGCTGCCATGAATTTGCAAGAGTCAAAACAAGCTAGAGAGGGTTGTAACCACGACAAAGAACATGTTACACCGACAAGTTTCAGTGAAGACAATCCCGACAAGGCTTCTACTACTATTTTTTTACTATTACTACTACTACTATTACTACTACTACTACTATTACTATTATTACTATTATTATTATTACTATTATTACTACTATTACTATTAGTACTATTACTACTACTACAAATACTAGTGCTATTGCTAGTACTACTAATATTACTATTATTACTACTACTATTATTACTACTACTATTATTACTACTACTACTATTACTATTATTGCTACTATCACTACTATTACTACTACTACTACTACTACTACTACTACTACTACTACTACTACTACTACTACTACTACTTTTACTATTATTACTACTATTATTATTATTTCTAGTGTGACTACTATTACTACTATTACTACTACTACTACTTTACTATTACTACAATGATAATTACTACTACTACTACTACTACTACTACTACTACTACTATTGTTACTACTACCACTACTACTACTACTACTACTACTGCTACCACTTATTCCTTCTTATGCCTTCTTATTCATTTTTATTGACCTTCGAAAAACCTCTTTTGACCTTCTTATTCATTCTTATTGCTTTCTATTGACATTCTTATTCCTTTCAATTGACGTTCTTATTCCTTCTTATTCCTTTCCATTGACCGTCTTATTCCTTCCTATTCCTTTCTCGTATTCCTTCTTATTCCTTTCTATTGACCTTCTTATTCCTTCTTATTGTTTTGTATTGACCTTCTTATTCATTCCTATTCCTTTCTATTGACCTTCTTATTCCTTCTTATTCCTTTCCATTGACCTTCTCATTCATTATTATTCCTTTCTATTGACCTTCTTATTCCATTCTATTGACCTTTCTATTACCTTCTTATTCCTTCTTATTCCTTTCTATTGACCTTCTTATTCCTTCTTATTCATTTCTATTTCCTTGCTTGTCGGGATAAGCCCGCAAGAAACATATCGCTGTAACGCTTTTTTCTGCCGTGGTAACATTGCACCTTGTCATGGTAACAAAATCGCGTTTTTGTCGTGGTTACAACCCCCCCTCCAAAACAAGCGCCGGAACGCCCCTCGCAGAAACCAGATCTTGGCCGGTCGAACTGGAGGCTCATACGGAGGGTTCCCGTTTCACCTTGGTTTTCGAGGGAAACCAAAAGGCACTTCTCGTTTTTTTTTGGGCACCCCTACTCTGAGACACACACACAGACACAGACGCTTACACACGCAGACACGCAGACACACGGACACACAGACACACAAACACACAAACACACAAACACAGACCGAGAGACACAAACACAGAGACAGAGACAGACAGAGACAGAGACAAACAGACAGAGACAGAAAAACAATGGACAAATTGGAAGAGATAGAGCCAGACAGACGGACGGACAGACAGACAGAGAAAGAGACAGAGGCAGACAGAGACACACACACACAGACCGCGCACACAAGCAGACATACAGGCAGAGACACACAGATGCAGACAGACACAGACAGACACGGACACGGACCCGGACACACAAACACAGACACAGACAGACACAGGTAGACACAGACAGACGCAGGCAGACACAGACAGACGCTGGCACACACACGGACAGACACAAAAAGACACAGACACGGACACGGACACGCAAAAACAGTCACAAACAGACACAGACACGGGCACACACAAACAGGCACCAAAAAGATTTAGGCAGACACAGAAGGACACAAACAGACACAGACAGACACAGACAGACACAGACATACACAGACAGACACAGACAGACACAAACAGGCACAAACAGATTTAGGCACAGACAGATGGACACAAACAGACACAGACAGACACAGACAGACACAGACAGACACAAACAGGCACAAACAGACAGAACCAGACACAGACAGACAGGGAGACGGACACACACACACACAGATCCATAGCGGCAGTTTTGTCAGGCAAGCTGGCGATTTATGATGGACAGCAGCGGACTCTCTCTGAGGACAGCGAGTCGTTGTGTGTGTGTGTGTGTTCTTGCAGACACCAGGCTGCCGCCTGTTGTGTTGCCCTTTTTGCAACAATCATGGAAGTGACAAGGGAGGAAATCCTCGAAAGTGAAGTAGTCCTCCAAACCCCTTCTTAAAAGTAATTGCATATTTGGATCTCAAGATGTTTGTGTGTCCGTGTTGAGGGCAACCTGATCCGGTTGATGTGAAAGAAAGCCAACAGCACCACCAGTTGGCCCTATTCTGACACACATCCACCGAATTCGAGGATCAGAAGCTTGCAGATCTCAAGATCGATGGTGCTGAGCCTTTGGTGTGCGGTGAGTTGCAGGACGCCGCTCGGTGACTTCCGATCCATCAGGTTGGCATAGGTTGGCATAATGGGGGGCGTATCAGAATTAGGCGACCCCCCAAAACCGATGCTGTTCTGACTTTACTCTAAAGCCAGCCACAAGGGGTTTATCACACACACACACACACTTACGCAAATGGGAGTGTGTCAAAAGATCCGCAAAGTTGGCTGACCCCCCTACAATGGTTCGTGTTTTGTGTGCTCTAATACCGTGATGCCGGCAGCGTGGCAATCTGACCTAACGTTTTGGGAACAGAGCCGTGGTCCCTGTGTGTTACGCGCCATTTGGAATAATTTTGGGGTGGTGTTCAGGGTGGTAGGCAAGGAGTTCCCCAAAAAGTGAAACCTCACATATTTTCGAACAATCCATTCAGCAAAGTGCAAACAATATTGCCCATGTCTCGGATTCCACGGAGTTTCTTGTGCGCATGTGAAAGGGGGGTCACGCCTAAATTTCAAGGGGGATCAGAATGTAGTTAGTTACAATGCCAAGTCAACCAGCTTGTGCATGCGCCAGCTTGTGCATGCGCAGGACGAGTGGCTCGAGGAAGCCAAGTGGGGCGCATTTGGGCAAACGCTCTATGAGGCGGGGCAGGCCGTAAGGGATTGTGGCTTGCAACTGGGCAGGACTGAGCTAGATTGGGCTGGACTGTTGATTGGGCAAGGACCTTGACACAACCTGGGCCAATCTAGCCGGGACTGAGCTGAACTAGGCTCAACTGAGCTAGGACTGGGCTTGGGGACTGGGCTGGGCCTCAATGGTCTAGGCAGGAAGGACAGCCTGGCTATCGGACGACTAGCACTACAAGCGCATCCGATTTTTTTAAATCTCATGCGACTGCGGCTCATCCCGCAAAACGGGAAGTGTGGTTCCATAAACCCAGAGGGTCCAAGTGCCCTTTGACGACGGCGGTTGAAGGGGCAGAGCGGGTCGAAGTGGTTTCGTCAGAAGATACCAAGGGACTCTGTAGGGAAATTCATCGGACTAGATTGAATGCCATTGAGACATTCAACTCATGTGGGTTTTTAAGACCCTCTCCGGGCAGTTGTCCGCAGTCCTGAGCTGGGGGATGAGCTGTGAGTGGAAAACACCAGAACAATTTGGGGCTTTGAGCAATCCTGTTATATATTCGCAGAATTGCAACGGGCTTGAAGTGACATTTTTTGGGGCTGACTTGCTAGCGTCCACCTGCCGAATTGCTGGCTAGGCGGACTACTTGAACCACAGGGAGTTTGTCATCTTCAACGGCTCGTAGTTCTCCGGCGTGGCAAATGTAGCTCGTTGGTTTCAGCCATGTGAGCCACATTCAAAACCGCTGGAAAGCGAAGGTTACGGGACAGTCCCAAGCATACACTATAGGCGTGAAATTTCGAGTCTTTAGCATGGGTTTTGGGTAGTTCACTAAAAGAACAGGTGTGATTGTGACTCATTTGCTATAGTCAGTCTTCCACAAGAGGTGCCCAGACGAAAATGAGCTGGATGCGGCAGCAGGTGTGCAGGATTCTTGGCGTATGATTCAAGAGGTGCCCCTTTCAGATGATTGTTGCACGCTGGGCAGCGCAAAGCCCTATTTTGCAAGACTTGACGGCCCGTGCCATTCGGATGAGAGACAAAGGGCCCAGTTGACGCAGCTAGGCTTCTGCCTAAGATGGATTGTAATAGCGGACGATGTTCACCTTCTTTATGGCGCAATCAACCCTGTTTGGTTCCAACCGGCTGAAAACAATGCAGGATCCGACCTCCGCGCAAGTGAGCAGAGCCGGCACACCGCAGCGGCCGGCATTCAAGCCCGAGGCTGAGTTCTGATCCACAGTGAACACTTTTGTAGTTGAAGGTTAGCAGGGGACTAAATAGGTACGGATATTTCCGGCTTTTCGTTCCTTACCATGGGTTTGGGCAGCCCAGTGTACCAGGTTTCGCTTGTGACTCATCAACCAAGTCTTTTTTGGGCCAAGCGAGGCCAGCCGCCTTCGCCTCGCCATATTTGAGAGTCTCCCAGCCGGTCACGCAGTCGGACACTGAGTCTATTTGGAGCGGACAAAACTGCTGGTCTGTTGTTACGGCCAGCCCCTCAAGGTTGCCTGCGCCCCAAAACAAAGCCCCGACGCCGCCCGAAACTCGGGGTGTATTATAGTCTATTGTTCGTTTGGGGACGTGAAAAGGCCAGCCCGAATTTCCAAAAGTTGCCGAAACCTCGAAATGGGACGCGTACATCAAATTTAGGGGATCCAAAGGTCCACCGTCCACTCTTGAGGTGGTAATAAAAATAAAGCGGTGAATCAGAGGTCCCTTGTGGCCATAACTGGCACGTCTCGCGGCAAACCGATATTAGGGGCTTAAAAATGCGACAGCGATCGTTTGCCAGCTTGGAACAACACATCTTGTTGTCCAGACTTGGTGGCTGACCAGAAACGAGCCAAAACGATGCTGTTTTGCGAATAAACAGCCTCTTGCTGCTAAAGTGTACTTCATGCACGCATTTCGGCTGAGCGGACAAGTTGAGAATTTCGAGATGGAGCTGCCAAAGCGTACTTTGTGTACAATTGTACTGAAGAGTCGCAATGTTCGAGCTGGAGCTGCCAAAATATACTACGTTTATTACACTTGTACTAAAGGGTCGCGATTCGAGGTTGAATGTGCAGAAAGCACAGGGGAGTTAAAAAAAGGACAACCCCACAAAAGTAGCTCTAAAAGCAAAGAGTTTTTTCTGCAACCTCTAGCGGCTCCAACTCCTGGAACGCCCACCCCCCGTTAGGAAGGTGCCATTTTTAGCGAACAGTTGGAACCTCAAAGGCATTGTCAAACGAAAAGCGGCCCCATCCAGGGAGGGCGGGCCCCCGTGGTCTCAGTTCTGCGTCGGCGCCGAGCCGGAGCTCGCTGCCCCTGTCGTCCGAGCCTGGGGCCGCGTGGCGTTCTTTTTTTTTTCCTCAAAAAGCCGGGTGACTCGGTTTTGGTTTCTGCTTGCTTCCCGTGCTGCTGTTAATAAGGATGATACTAATAGTCAAGAAAACAGGGTTACCCTCAAAACGACACTGCCATGTTCCTACCAAAACCTAATTGCAGCATAGTTTGAGGTGGCTCAAAGGGCAAAATGGATTGCGATTCGCGCTCTGCAAGGCCGACCAAGAGAGAAGCGAGCCGAGTGGCGCCACCTACCGGTTCTCCCCAGCCTTGGACAGGCAGGCGTGTTGCTTTGCAAAGGCTCTGCAATTATGTCATATTTCAATGTGAACACTCCACAATGATTGGTGAACAATGATTCCAGGTAAATGATACCCACCAAAGGGTCTACAGTTAAAAGTCATATCCATATGAATCTAGTCATTTGTGTTTCTGCTCTGCGATACCCTTTCATAGATAGCAAGCCACCCTGCACAATCAACCCGTCTGTCGGCTAGAGACTGGATTGCATGGCATATATGTTTGTCCTCCGCGCGCAGGAGGGCAGGTGTGACTTGAAGCAAATTCCAGAGCATAATTTTAGAAAGTTGTCACCTGACGATCCTGAAATTCAGGCCGGAAGGGGCCCTACTTGATCGATTTGTAGCGTAAATAAAAAGCACTTCCTGCCACTTCTGGCAGCGATTCTGGCGCATCTTGATGCGAGTAAAAAGTGGCTTTGATGAGTTTTGCTCGCATGTGTCACTGCTGCAATCACCGTCTTTGTCTATATCCTCATGCCGGCCTTGCCATCTGGCTCAGTCTTTACGCGTCCCATGCCTCTTCTCACCTTGAAGGGGAGCTACTAATCAGGCATCGGCAACTGCTTCTGCGACCGTCCAGTTGCCAGTGGGAGGTAATGTATCTTTCTTGCACGTGACTTGTGAGTGCCAGACTCAGAGTACAAGTCTTCAAACTCTCATCTTTTCCAAGCCGGTTTCCATTGCCCCCAAACCACTGCAAACCACCACCACAGGGGGGGTGAATGGGATATATAGCTACATAGCCACTGTACTATACAAAGGGTAAGTTTCCGCTACGGTTAGTGGTTTGAGGGTAGTGGAAACCATCATTGACCTTTGGCTGATGGCCCGCCAACGTGCCGCAGCATTTAGCTCATATGCAGACATGTGCAAAAGCCAACCACCAGCCCAGTGCAAAGCAGATTGAGAGGTTGAGCACTCAAGATCTCAGCTGGCGTTCTACCGCATGGATTCCTTTCTCGGGTGTCTACTCAGCGAAATCCAGACATCGAGATCGATCTTGTAGAGTTCGCTTTGCCGACTGCGTGATGAAGGCCCCTTGATTGCCTTTGGGTTCGATTGCAGACAGTTGCCTAGAACCTACAGACACCTGCAATTCTTTAGAGATCGGTGTGGTTCAGACATTGCCCAAAGCCTTTGGAGCGGGCGAGGCTTCGCCCGCTTCCGCCTCATCTATGCCAGGCCAATGACTGGACCACGCTGTATCGCGCGCCCCAAATGCATGCAGAGAGCGGCGCCTGGCTTGAGGCTGGGACTCAGGATAGCTGCCTTGAAATGCTTCAGGTGCCATTTGGTTCGAAAGGGTGACCGACCAGCGGCATGAACCAATGTGTATCATTCCTTATTTTGGCAGTCGTCCTCGCTGGTATTTGGAAATTGTAGTATTTTGCAGTAATGTTTATAAGAGCAATCAGTTGATCGCCAATCTGACATTCCAAAGAGAGAATGTTGAATGCTACTAGCATTCAATGATCATTGGAGAACACAACTCCATTAGCAGCTGCTACAACTGAATCCCACGCGATCTTACAGCTGGACACCCTGCCGCCCAGGCCTTCTCAAAACGAGATGCGCAGGCATCGAAGGGCTTGCGTGTGTACGCAATGTGCTGATTGAGAGCAGTGGGTGCGAATCGAGTATATGACATTTTGAGAAGTGAGCATGCAAGGCGATCCTCATAGCACTTCCTTGGACACTTTTGTTGTCATCTTTGACCTTCTTTATGCTGCTCTATGCTTTCGAGGCTGGCTCGCGTGAGCATGATTTGCTGAAATGCTTCCTCTGCGGGCACAGGCGTCTTTGCCATCCTCTGTGGGCGTCCTCGAAAAGGCACCGCTTTAGGAGCAGTGCATTACTTCTCAAAGCAAATGTGAGCTGGTGTGTTTGTGTTTTGTTCAAGTACCCACACACATATGCGCGAGATCTCTTTGCTTGAGGGATGGCGGGGATGGTCGTCAACCATTGAATTGGCGTTTTGAACAACCAATGCAAAGGCTCCGATGAATGGAACACCATGACCATGCTCCCAGATTCGGAGTTTTCAACATGACACATATACTCTTTCACTGCGCTGAGGTTGTGCAAGCGACACACTACCTGATCGCGATAGTATGTGCTTTGTATGTCCCGGCTCCGAGGCCGCACCCAGGCCAAGTGCACAGCCCATTTTTGCTGAGGAGTGGATGGACACTGTTCAGGGACTCTACTAAGCCGGCTCTGGCTTGAACGGATAATCAGGAGTGCAGCATCCCCGAACCCATTTGTTAGAACCCATTTGGGGTCAATAAATCTTTGACGCAGCTTTGAGGATGCTTGATAAGGTGGCTGATTCAAGGGTATCTGATTCACTGTGCACCAGTTTTCTATGCATGTTTGAAAGGGTCAGCAGTGGTTTTTCTTTTTCATGACTTCACACTGAGAGGTTCTTCGTGTAAACAGCGCAGCCCCCATTGCCCCATTGTGCACACTTCAGGGTTTGTGTTATTGAGGTCCTGGACAGGTTGGCTTGAAGGGAAACCTCAAGGAAACACACATGGGTGTGGGTCAAAATTGAACCACCTGGCCGCAGATTTTAGTCCTTGGTTCCAGATACCAGGGTTCTATTTTGGGTACCCATTTTTGAACAACAGCCACATTTTTTTTTGGGGGTTGTTTTCTAATCGGAGGCACAGGCATGGCCCTCTCAGGTTGCCGCGCTGCTGGAGCGTCCCAGCTCCTGTTGCCGGAGCGGCCCCCGGCGCTCGCCTGAGGCGGACGCTTCGGGGCGTCGGTCCGATAGGAAGCGGAACAAGAGCTGCTGGACTTCACGTTTCTTTTTTTTGTTTGAGAAGACGCTTGTTTTTGGGCGAATGCACTCAGGACGTGAGTAGGTGGTTTAAAACCATGGCAAGAAGTGGACTTGCTGGGCCAGGGGTTGGTTCCCTATATATCTACGGTGACAACCTGCTTGGGAAGTGGGGTCAAGCTCCTAAGTACAAACATGGAAAAACAACCACGCATGTTTTGCAAGGGGCATGGTCATTGCCCTATGATGCTATGATGGGGGTTTCAAGAAGCGTGTCTCCAGATGTTATCAAGGGAGCCATGAGCATTTTCTCAAATTGGCAGTTGTCAGCGCCACAGTTCATCACCTGCGTTCTAGATTTGGCTCTAGATAGTTGCATTTGGATAGCCAGCGGTTCGTTTCTTCCAACGCAGGGATGGCTGGCAGTTTGCGCCGTGGCAGCTTGCTCAGCGATTGCGCTGTGCTATGCGCGGAGCTTGCATAGCCTTCCCGACACATCGGAAAGGACGGCAGTGGCTTCCCCGCTTTCTTTCAACACTGACCGGCTGACCGTTTGCAGGAATCCCATCATCCATGGATCTGTGGCTTTTCGATTGGCCACAACCGGGGAGTTTTTACTTCAGATTGCGTGGCTGTGGGCTGCAGCAGGCGAGGTGCACGGATGCCTACTGCGCACGTGCCGTGCCGCTTTGCAGGTCTGCGATGTGAGGAGGGCCAGAGCGTGCCGCGCTGGCGCCGCCGGCCCCTGAGAGCGAAACGCGCGACAGGAATCTGATGTGGAAGTTGGGTTGGACGATGCTGTACTGGCACAAATGGTGCCAGAGCGAGCATGCCAGATTAAGATTGCAAAACCAGTTGCGTTGAGGTTGGAGCTACTTCCTGCTGACGCTTTTATGGTGCCTGACATGGTGGGGCCCGACCAATGGTGCAAGGCGACGCACTCAGCGTGACGTGCACTGGCTCCCTGCAGCAGCCAAGGTTTGCACGTTTTGGCGATCATGCTGCTGTACTTACAGGCGTGCCAAGGGCTTTTGTCTTCGAACACTATATGGCCACGGGTCAAAATCCAAATCGTACTCCCAGTGAACATCCCAATCCCCACTAAAATAGGTTCTAAAATGGGTGGTGCACCATTGGTGTTGACCCACGGCCATATATATATATATATATACACACCTGATCCCGGCCCGCGGGCCGCAAGCCCCCCCCGTGCTATCCCCCTTCCGGGCCTCCCGCGCAGGCCTGCCCTGTGGCCCTGTGCCCCCTCAACGGCATGTCCCAGAAACGGCAGCACAAAGCCCTGCCGCCTAATCCTAAGCCTCCTGACCCGCACCTCAGCACCCCCATCTAAACCCTAGCACCCCAAATTACCACATAACAAACTAAACCCAAGCTTCTTAACCCACCTTAAGCCAACCCTAAAACCACCTGAACCAACCTTATTAACCCACCCAAACCAACTTTAAATATGCCCGAAACCCACCGAAACCAACTTTACACCACACCCGACACCGTCCTGAACCAACCTTCTAAACCCACCTAAACAAGCCCCAAACCAACCATCAGCTCCAAAGCAACTGCCTAAACTAACCTGCACCAGCCATAAACCAACCCAACCCCAAACAGCCCCAAGCCAATCCGAACCCTAAGCCAGCCAATCCTAAACCAAGCCTAACCCTCCCGAATCCAGCCGAGCCAATGGTAACATGTTGTTGAACCCAGCCATAATCATGCGCAGCAAAGTACGTGTGGTGTGGGCGGACAAACTGTCAGAGACGAGAGTGCCTTGTGTGATGCAACATAGATATTGTATGCATGTGATGTATTGTCATGTAATGGAATGGAGTGTAATGTAATGTAGTGTATGTATGTATGTAGGTATGTACGATATATATGCATGGTAAAGTATGTATGTACGATGTGTATGTATGGTACGGCCTGTATCTATGTATGCATGCATGCCTGTATGTATGTATGTATGTATGTATGTATGTAATGTATGTATGTATGTATGTATGTATGTATGTAATGTATGTATGTATGTATGTATGTATGTATGTATGTGTGTATGTATGTAATGTAATGTAATGTAATGTAATGTAATGTAATGTAATGTAATGTATGTATGTATGTATGTATGTATGTATGTATGTAATGTATGTATGTAATGTAATGTAATGTAATGTAATGTAATGTAATGTAATGTAATGTAATGTATGTAATGTAATGTATGTATGTATGTAATGTAATGTAATGTAATGTATGTATGTATGTATGTAATGTATGTATGTAATGTAATGTAATGTAATGTAATGTAATGTAATGTAATGTAATGTATGTATGTATGTATGTATGTATGTATGTATATGTATGTATGTATGTATGTATGTATGTAATGTATGTAATGTATGTATGTGTATGTATGTATGTATGTAATGTATGTATGTATGTATGTATGTATGTATG